CTGGGGTCACCTTTTTGTTCCCACCTGGAAGGAAGAGGCTGGTGGTCTCCTGCTGGGGCAAGGCTTTCCCACTCAGCTCTGCCCCATACCCTCCAAGCCTGAGCTCTGCCTGGAGCCCACACCACCGCTTCTCAGACAGAAAATGTGCCTTTCTGAACATGGGAAGATGCAGGCTGTAATATCTAACCTGACACTGAGACCCACTCACTTCTGTGCCTTCTGCATCAAGCTCACTGTGCCAGCAGACAGCAAAGCACTTAGTTTCTTCTGGCCACCAAAGGGAGGGAGGGCAAAATCCCTTTTTGCCTGTAAGTCTGCCCAAAACAGACTCTCACCTTACTGACAACCGTTACCTCCTCCAGCCCAGCCCCAGCTCCTTCCCTTTCTGGTCATGCCTGTCATAGCAGCAGCTATGTAGCTTGGGATTTGCACTCTACTTTGGGGCCTGTCCCAAGGTCCACAGTAGGCTGTCTGCTGTGTCCTTTTGACACCTGGATGGTGCCTCAGGGGGTCCCAGTGGCCTTGCCCTGGACTGGGCTGTCCCTCCGCTGTGGGCTTGGTCCTCCTTTCTGATAATCATGTTGCGTACAGGACTCTGAGGAACCCAGGAACATGAAGTGTAAGTGAGGTTTCCCTGGTCAAGGCAGGGGAAAGAATCCTTTTCTGACTTTTTGGCATCCTGAGATGATAGCTTAGTCTGCCCTTTGTCATGGCCTAGAGGCAGGGCAAGGGCAGCTGCTTATCTGTATCCCTCAGCCCCCGGCCCTATGACAGCTCTGTGTGCTGGATGGAAAAGAATCCGGTTTTATTGTAGGGAAAAAGACAACATGGATTAAATATGAGGTTCAGGACAATTGTCGTGAAGATTAGAAGCAGCACACTAGGCACTTGTCACAATTTTCTCTCCTCATTTGAGTTGTTTACTAATTATCCCACCAAGGAATTCTTCATTTCTGATATCCTGATTTTATTTCTAGCATTTCCATTTAATTCATTTTTATAGTTCCCATCTCTGCTAAAATCCAAATCTATGTGTGGTGTTCACTTTTCCCACCAGAGCCTTTAACATATTAATCATAATGATTGTTTAAAAATAAATTTTATTTTCAATGAGTTCCATATTTCAAATACTCTACTTTTAGTAGAGGATATCTACTTGGTGTTTTGGGGTGTTTTGGGGGGATGTTTAAGACAGGGTCTCACTATGTAGTTGAGATTGACAAGGAATCATGGAACTCACTATGTAGTCCAGGCTGGTCTCGAATTCACAGCAATCCTCTTGCCTCAGCCTCCCGAGTGCTGGGAATACAGGCATGCGCCACCACGCCTGGCTCTACTTGGTGTTTTTTAATAGATGTCAATTTCCTATTGAAATTCTCCACCTCATCATCTATTTCATATTTCTTTTCCTCTATTTTCTATATTATACTTGTCTCCGAATATTTTAGTGTGTGCCAAACACTGCATATGAACAAATAAGTAGACAATGGAGACTGCAGACAGGTCATTTTCCCGAGAGGTCCAACCCTCTCTACTGCTTAGCAGAAAATAGGGTGAAGTTGTTTGTTTTCAACTTTAATCTAGTCGAGGGCTTGAGCGGGATGGATGGAGCTGGGTTGCAGTTTCAGGCAGACTCAGTTTACTGCTGCCTTCATAGGTCTTGACAGGACCCGCCACACTTCTGCTAGCTTCTCCCTCTGCAGGGTACTTTCCTCCACATGATGAGGCAGCCAGAGATTTCACCCTGTCCCCAGGACAGCCCTCAGCTCCCTTGCTGGTGCCAGACTCAGCACATGACTCAGGGAGACCAGATGTGCCTGTGGGCAACTCTGGGACCTCCCACAGGACTCTAACGCTCTGCGTGCTTCTGACCACCTGTGCAAGCAGAAGCCAAGGCGCATGTCCAAAGAGATTGGCAGCCACTTGGCCCACTGAGAGGCCTTCCCAATCCCTTCTGCTCCCCTGTTCTTGGGCCTCCCCTGTCTGGTTTCTCTCGATCACTATAGAGCAGGCACTCATCCTTCACCCTGCCCCAAATTGTACTCTATTCATTGCAATGTCTTTAAAGTTCGCTGTGCTTTAAGTATGTTTCCTGTGAACAGAGAACAGAGCATAGGTGAAACTCAAGACTGTTAACATTGTATCACAGCAAATAGAATGCTTCAACTTCTTTGCACTTTTGGTAAACTTATGTGCTTGATCCTACTTCTTTCATTTTTATATTTGTCCTGATCAAATTGCTGTTCATTCCACTATTTTCCTTTTACATCTAAGGTTCCTCTATATTGTTTTATTCTGTTAAATTCCCTTTACATTCTCTTGTACTCAGGCAGCTATTTTTCTTTTTTTGTTTTTTTGTACTGGGGATTGAATTCAGGGTGTTGCACTTGCTAGACAGGCGGTGACACCACCTAGCTAAATCACCGCCCTATTTTTGAAAATTACCTAGCAGCTACTTTCCCTAACTCCTTACTTCCCTTCCTTTAGAATGAGGTCTTTAGAATGTCTTCCTCTGCCCTATTATATATTGTGTTGTGACAAACCACTCCTGGGTCTTGCATGGAAGATGTCACAAGTTGGAAGAGCCAGACCCCTGACTCAGTCATACTAACTTGGCCTGCTGCTTGCTGACTGGGCCTTGCCACCAGCCGATTAATTCACTGGCTCCTGTATCCTTGAATTCTGTAGATGTGGCATGGGATGGGGGTGTCCCCTCACCCTAGTGGATTCAGAGTATCTGGGTGAGATGGTCTCTTTGGTGCATCAGAGTTAAGTGGATGGCCTCTCTCCTTGGGAGATCTGGGGTGTCTGGGTGGTGTGGTGCTCTCCCTGGGGGATGTGCGGTGTGGGTAGTAAACCCTCTCCTGGCTGTACCATCTCTCCTGCCTTCTCTGTGAGTGAACGTGTCCTCTTGATTCTGGAATCAGGGCATCCTGAGTCTCTGGGACTTCTCTATCTTTTCTGCACAGCCTCCTTGGGAAGTAGAACTCCCCCAGGGCTTCTGACTGTGCTACTGAGGGTGGAGTTTTGGGTGGCTGTGGGGTGTGGCTGGGGATGTTATGAGTAGTTGGCAGAAATAGCTGGCAAAGAGTACCTGCTAAGCACAGTCATTGCTCTGGCCTTTGTCCTCTTCAGGTACCTCAAGGCAGAATGTGCTGGGATAAAATGCAGGGCCTAATTATACATGCAAGGCATGAGCAGTAGCACTGAGATACACTGTACACAGCTCTTAGCCTGATATTTTTGATGTTTAAAAAACCTCATTGGTTTTTCTGCCAACAATATTGGAGTCCCAGAAAGAGAATAGGGGAAAATACCCAGATTTGGAAGTTCTGTATATTGCAAGGATAAGTAAAAAGACAATCACATTTAGGTGCAACACAGACTACAGAAAACCAAACATAAAAAAACATTTTAAGAAAGCTAGAAACAGCTGGGCATGGTAGTACACGCCTATAATCCTTGCACTCTGGGAGGCTGAGGCAGGAGGACTGCAAGTTTGAGTCTAGCCCGAGCAACTCAGTGATGGAGACCCATGTAGCTCAGTGAAAAGGCCCTGGGTTTAATCTCCAGTACTGGTGTGAGTAAGGGGAGATACAGTATCTTCAAAATAGCAGCAATATGACAAAATTTGAATTTTTAACAAAACCCATGGGCCAGAAGAGAATGGAATAGGACGTTTAAAGCTTTGGAGGTGATAAAAACTGTGAACCTGGAATTCTATCCTAAGAAGAATTAAAGGCAAACTAAATTTGTTTTCAGACATACAAAAGCTGAATGAATGTGAACCATAACAATGGTACAAAGAAAAACTAAAAAAAGTATGAGTGGAAATCAGTCATGGTTGAAGCATGAAAATGCAGGAAAGAATGAAGAACACTAGTAAGGATAAATGGGAAAAGGATATCAATATGTATAATAATGCATCAACATTGAACTGCACTAAATGGTACCTACACCTAGGTACTTCAAACATGTGCGAGGAAGATGTACAACACAAAAGCACCAACAGGGAAGCAGAAGGTGAAGGTTACCTCTGTAGTGTTAATGCACTGTTTAGGAAGTAGCTGAGATACTAAAAGGCTGTATTAAATGAAGGCTGCATATTGTAATCACCTGGCCAACATAATGCAAAAAGATATCACAAAAACCCTAACAGAGGAGGTAAAGCAGAGTTGGAAATGTTATAAATCTTTCGGGAAGCAGCAAAGTATGAGTAAAGGAATAAAAACATGGGACACAGCACAAATAACAAGAAAGTATACTTAAATCAACACGTGTACAATCACTTTCACTGTAAGTGGACTATTACTTTAATTAAAAGACAAAGGTTGGCAGGCTAGATAATGAAAAGAAAGCCCAATTATATGGTGTTTTACCTCTTTCAGTACCTGACTGAATAAACTTAAACAAATCATTAAGGATTCAGGAGATTTGAGCAATCTGATTGGTCACCTTGATGGGACATATAAAGACCCTTATGGCAAACAGTGACAAAATACATTGTTCTCAAATGCACATGAAACATTTACCAAATACATCACATGGTAGGTAAGCCATAAAGCAAGTCTTCACACACTTCAAAAGACTGGTATCTAATCAATACCCCCTCAAGTGACTTGGAGGCAGAATCTCTACCCAGCTGGGCCCTCCACGGCAGCTTGACTTCAACTCACAAGAGTCCCTGAGCAGAAGCATCAGCTAAGCTGCTCCCAAACTGTGATCCTTAAACACTGGGTGAGAAATAAATATTTGTTGTCCTAGCTGATAAATTTTGGTACTAATATATTTTCTGGCTTCTTGAACTGGGAGTTTAGAGTACTTACCACACAGAGGGGTTTGAAATGATAAAATGATAATTTTCTCTAAGCACCAGATAAACTCTAGAAAATAGAAGGAAATGTAGAGAGAAACCAATGAAACAGGAAACATACATAAAAACTCAACGAAGCAAAAAAATGGTATTTTTAAAAAAGACTAAAAAATTGATAAATCCTTAGGAAGACTGATAATGGAGAATTTTATGAAGAATTTTGTGCTAATACATATTTGACAACTTGGATGAAATGGAAAAATTCCTTGAAAAACTTATTTTCTAAAACTGACACAAAAGGAAACAAAGTCTGGAAGTCTGACATTTGTTAAAGATGTGTTCAGGACAAGGCCCATCTTTAATAACACCCTTCTTAAACATTCAGTGTAAGAGCCTAAGTTGCATAGCACAAGAGCAGCCTGGGCAGAGGGGAGGTCAAATGCAGGTCTGCTCAGCCAGGGGATGGTCTGGAGCCCTGCAGGCAGAGGCATGCCCTGGGCTGGATTTCACTGTGCAGTTGAAGGGTCTAGTACGTAAGCAAACACCTTTCCTGGGCAGGGAACAGGAAAAGCTCTTACCCAAACCCCTGTGGCTGTCACTCCTTCCTTCTGGACAACCTTCAGGGACTCCTGCTGTGGCAGGAAGTCAAGCAAACTAGATTCCTATACTAAAACAAATAGGTTAATGAGAACTATGACTATATTTGTGACTCGGTTGCATGGAGTAAGGGAGAGGGAGGATTGATGCTGACTTTCAAATGACTTTGTCAGCTGGGTTGGCAGAAAAAGATAACAAATGAAAACAATAGGTTTGTCTGTAATATCCTCATTCTTTTAATGATACTTAAACCTTTCACAGCCTCAGGAAAGGAACACAGATTTATTTAAAAACAAGGGGCTGCCTGTGAAATAAATCATAAAAACACTGAATACCCTAACACTAGTCCCAACCGCCACACAAGAGATGAGTCGGTTCCTCATGTTTAAAGAAGCTTCACATTGGTACTACAAACATCTTCCTAATATTTTGTGTTAAAAAATATATTTTGAGGTCATGATGTTGGTGAGTGAAGTGAAAGGTTTCCGGTGAGAGTTGCAAACGGATGCTCTTTGTTTAATTCCAATTTTAGTTTCATTACTTCATCCTGCAGTTTCTTGGCCTTTGGAGAGAAAAGGAAGGGAAGGAAAGTGAGAAAGCAGGACTTTCCATGCTGTCCTCTCCAGGTTCAAATGAATCCCCCGACACACCAGGGGTACCTGAGGATGAGCAGAACCGGCCCCCAACCCTAGGATAGCCAGGAGTCTGAGCCATGGTGCAGCCTCCTCTGAGATAAGGCCTGTGCAGCCTGTTCCAGCCAGCTCTCCTGCTGTCCCTTCACACGAGGGCATCAACTGTGTGGACCACTCATCTCAGTGTCCTCAACAGGCCCCACACAGGTGTCCTGTGCAGCTGCAATCTGCATGAATGGGTGAGCAGAGAATGCCGTGGAAACTGGTACCACCCTCAGGTGAATATGCCACATTCGTGGTCCCACCTGAGACCTGCAACTGCCCTGAGATCTGACGGAGCCATGGACACAGAAACCAAGGACCAGTGTGTTCCCAACAGGGAAAAGAAAGAACCGTGTCTGGGCTTAGGTGCATGCTTTCTGTTTCACATTCCACGGTCCTAGCCCTGCTACTGTCCAGAACAAGATAAAATGGAGGGAGCACTGCTGTCACACATGAATCAAGTCACCAGTGGCCAATGAGCAGGCTCTTCCACTTCTGAATTGGGTGCCTGCATCTGTAGGGCCACACCTTCCCACCCCAGAAGGGGAGCCCTACGGCCTTCCCACCTTACTCCTTTTTGTCTGCCCAGGGGCACAGCTGTACCTCTACCTCTAGCCCAGCATTGCTAAGACTCCTACAACCACCTCTCCTTAATGCAGTTATGGCATAATCAGTAGGTTTCTATCACTAAAATTAGGGGAACATTATTTGCTACTTATTCAATAAGTATGCATCGATTATTTTTATGCATGTACAAATTCCTGTGTGGGAGATTTTTTGTGTGTGTGGAAGTAATTATTGCCTCCTTTTAGAAATTTTACTGTTTCCGATGTGCCTGTCATTCAGTGTCCCAAACTATAAAATCCCATAATGCTTCTTTCCTCCTGATTAGATTTTGTCTCTCTGGGAGTGACCTTAGCTCAGTGGCCTCCAGTGCCTGCTAACAGGTGGCCTGAGGCTCCATTTTCCTGCACCATTTACCCCAACTCCTGACTTGACAGAATGCATTTGCAGAAATAGGCTGTGCGGAAAGTAACACTTCTGAGTGCATGTGTATCTGGAAATGCATTTATTTTGTACTGATCCCTGACCATGGAAGTCTGATCTCAGAGTTGTCACCTGTCTTAGTCACAATGTCGAGCCATGGTGGGCTTTTCAATCTGAAACCACATCTGTTTGTGGAAAACTTTTTTTTTTTTTAACTAATTTCTCCCTCTCCTTCCATTTATCTAGAGTCTCTCTTGAATACCTGTTGGTGGATGCTGAACCTCTTGGATCAATCCTCTTCAATTACTGATTTAATTTTTTAAAAAATTGTGTTGTTGCTATTTTGAGATAGGATCTCACTTTGTAGCTCAGACTGGCCCTGTGATTCTCCTCCCTCAACTTTTTGAATGCTGGGATTACAGGGGTGCACCACTGCACCCAGCTAAATTTTTAAAAATTGTCATCTTTTTAATTTACCTCTAAGAGTTCTGGGGTATCAAAGTGTGGTTTTCCTAATAGCTTTGTGTTTCACAGTAGCAGTATTTCCTATTATCACCCAGAGGATTTTAATGCTAGCTTGTGATTTTTAATTTTGTCTTCAGTATCTGAAGCTCACTTTTCCAGCCGGTTTGCTGAGGCCCCTCCTTCACAATGGGACTCTCCCCATAGACCTATGCTCTCTCTCTAGCTCAGGATGAGGCCCTGAAACCATGAATAGATACTGTGGATACTGGCAGGTTGGTCACTCTGACCACTCAGGACAGGGCTATTTTCAGGGGATACCCATGTGGCTTTTGCTTCAGCCAGCTGAGAGGGCTAAAGAGGATGTGCCAGCCCCTAGTATAGCCTAATACACTGGTGTGTACATGTGCCTTTCTCGGGGTTTGGGAAGGTAACATGTGTCCACTGTTACTAGGCCTTTGGCATTTGATCACTCTATTTCTCTAGGGAGGGGAAAAACCCACTGGGTTGACCAGTGGAGCCAATGGACCATTAGACAATCAGACCCTCCTGGGGATCTAATTGCTACAGACTTGCAGCTTTCAATCCCGTTCTTCCTAGTTTTATATTCCTATGTTTGGGTGTATGGAATGAATCATCTTGCATCTTGTCATTTTTATCTGCTGACCTTAACACTGCACTTCCAGGTGGCTTCCTTCCTGCAAAACATGCTGGCCTTGGATAGGCTCAACTGCTACACCAAAGGCCCAGATGACAGCAGGTGAAAACCAGTTGGATATATTTTTCTGAGAGGAGCATCCATCATTGGAGGCTTAGGTTCTGCATGGATTGCTGTTGTTCTGCATCCTCATCAACATTTTCTTTTGTTGGTTTGAAGACAACAGAAATAGAGCCCACCCGATGGGGACAGAAGACTTCCTATTCCATGTTGGAGCTTCTTAACCTGGGGCAGCCTGACCTAGGAACATGGCCTCAAAATGGCTGCATGGCGTAGGGCACACTGATGTGAGAGAGCCCTCCAGGCTAGGGCCCTGGTGATCTGGGAGAACAGGCCAATGTCCAATGTGGGTGAGTGAGTGGGGACACAGGCACTTAGGTGATCGCTGTCAGGAGGGCAGTTGTTTCCTGGGACCAGCTGGACGGGCTGCCCATGTCCCAGGCAGGGTAGAAAAGGGCCCTCCAATCTCACTGAGCTGCTGTCATAGGTCAGGACATCTCAGCACCAAGTAAGTGCTAGGCAGGTGCTAACTACCCATCAGCAGTTAGTTGGGCAGTGATTCAGGGACAACTCTGTCTAGGCAGCTTCCAGGGCAGCAGTATTTGGATCTCCATGAACTTTGGCCTTCGTATTTCAGAGTCACTAGCCACATTGACACTGCAGGCAGCTGCTGTAACCCTTAAGGCCTAGATCTGAGCCTGTTCTCCTAGCTGCAAAGCTTCAAGCAAGGACCCCTGGCATTGTGAAGGGGAATGGTCCCTGTTCCTGTCCCCAGGCAGCTGCTGCCATGAATGCCCAGATGTGGGTACTATTGGTTTCCAGCACATCCGAGGGCTTGTAACACAGCTGGGACATTTTCTTCTCATCAGACAAATGGTAATTCTGAAATGTCCTACAGCCCGGTGTTAGCATGCACTCCACAGAGGCAGAGGTAAAGGTACTTTCATTTTAATGAATCAAATTATTTGTCCCTTTTTTTTTTTTAAAGACAAGATCTGGTTAGGCAGACCAGGCTAGGCTTGAACCTTGAACTACATAGACAGGTTGGCTTTGAACTCATAATCTACCTGCCTCAGCCTCCTGAATTCTGGGATAACAGGTACGACCCACACATCTGGCTTAATGAAACAAGTTCTTCAACAGAGCTGACAAATACTCACAATGTTCAAGTCCTGGGTGGCTGTCTTCATCTCCTGCAGCTCCGGTGCACCCTGGAAGCTCCTGTGTGAATGCATTTGTTGTATGTGCCGCTTTATCTTTTCCTCCAGATCAGCTGCCACTCGGGAAGGACTGAGAATACAAGGCAGTTCAATGTGCTTGGACATGAGGCATCTAGTCCTAGCAGGTCCTATTCCGGCTGAGGACAGTTTTCCTTTTCCTTCAGACCACATGTAGTTCTGAGGGCTGCACCACAGCTCCCCTGGGCTCTGCACCCCTCTCCTCCAGATGCTAAGCCCCAGGTCCTACTGCTTCTCCCTTTCCTTCCTCAGATGATTTTCGATGTTCTGCCAGCTTGAACCACTGGTAGTATATGCATAACTGTCCCATGGTCGGGGAGGCTTTAATCACTGTTGGTAGCTATTTAACATCAGACAATGGAATTCAAATCAGAGCTGCTCAGCAACGAGAAAAACAAATTATAGCCCCCAACGAGAAAAACAAATTATAGCCCCGTCATGGACAAGTTATAGATGAAGGGCCACACTGAGTACTTAAAACCTTCAATTCCACATGAGACAGTCCATGTTTAGGACACTGCTTATTGTGCCATATGAAGACAGCCTGTCTCTGTTTTCATAAGAAAAACACAGCTTTACTAAATCTTTGAACAGCAACCAAAATTACATTACACTATGATTTTTTAAATATTTCTGTTAATACTGGGGCTCTAGCCAGGCGTGGTGGCGCACCCTGTAATCCCAGCACTTAGGAGGCTGAGGCAGGAGGACTGCTGTGAGTTCGAGACCAGCCTGGGCTACATAGTGAGTTCCAGGTCAGTCTCAACTACATAGTGAGACCCTGTCTCAAAAAACCAAAATAAATAAATAAATAACTGGGGCTCTGGACTTTGAGGCCTTCCTTCTTTGATTGTAAATACAACTTAGGATGGCAGAGAGAGACTGAGAGTCTGTTGCTGAATGTTGGCCTCCTGCCCCATGGGCCCTCCTCAGCACCTGCTCTACAACCCTACAGGGATCTCAAGGCCAAGCCCAGGTCTTCCACTCTCCTCTTCTCCCCGTCTGGTTGGCACCACACTTCCCTGATATCTCTCCCTGCTCTCCAGAGCTCTTGACCTGGCTTCTCAGGACAACAGCCCTGTAGTCCAGCCATCACGTGACCAGAGACTCAAATCCTAGATCATCTCAGCACTCACAAGTTGACCTTCTACTGGGACCTCTTGATCTGTCCACGGTCCCTATCTCCTCCACTTCGGTGAACACCCAGCCTCACAGCCCCACAGACCTCTCTTCTATCTAGTTTATCCTGTGATTGGCGCCCTAAAAGCCTTTTCTAGCACCTCGTCACAGGACCAGGTCTAAAAAATCTGGGGCTGGGCTGGGGATTTAGCTCAGTGGCAATATGCCTGTCTGGTGAGTGTAAGGTCCTGAGTTTGATTTCCAGTACCAAAAAAGATAAAAATCTTGGGTTAAGCATGAGATTAGACTTCCAGGCATGGGAAGACTGGGCAGGATTAGGGCCAAGCAGCAGCAACTCTGCAGACAGCCTGTGTAACCTTCTAAGTCCTGGTATCATCTAGCAGTGGCTGGCTACAGAAGGTAGGTCCTGAGGGCAGGGACCATGTCTTTCAGAATCACCCTTCCACCCGGTGTCCCCCTGCAGGTCTGGACATTCAGGGCACTCAGCATGTGCTCGTGAGATGGACAAAAGCATGTGCCAGTGAGCAGGGCAGAGCCATGGAAGGACTGAACTGCAGTCTTAGTCACCGACCTTATTTCTTCACATGCCTGTGACAAGCTCTCTTTGCCATGTTTCTTTTTGCCCTGTGGACTCACTGGAATCCTCCCATGATCTATCATATGTGTAGCAAATGGAATCTTTGATGCCACCTAGGAATACACAACAAGATGTTTTCAGGAAAAATCTGCTTTTAACATAAGCACATCTGCCCCGTGCATCAATGTTTTCTTCCCCCTGAAGAGGTCAAGCAGTGGCCGGGCAGATCCTGTGACAGCCCCTGAAACTGTCACACAACTGAGAATACATTATTGAAAACAGGTCCCAAGTGTTTTATACAGATGTGAATATATTTTAAAATTACTTAATTATTTTTAAATTTCAAGCTAATATGTAAGCACTAAAATAAAGTGAGGGGAAAAGAACAAAGAACAAGCTTACTTAGAAAATCTGCACTTACAACTCACCCATGGGACCCATGGCATAAACAATCAGTATAAATAACTGAAAATTTAGAAGGCCAGTGTTATTTCCTCCAATAAAGACCACTGCACTGCCCAGTGCAGCAACAGCTTCCAGAGGTATATCTGCTGGTGAGAAGCTGTACCAAATCTGCTGTTCCCATGGGGGTCCTAGGATTGGGGCTTAAAAAGGCAGAGGCAGTTCTGCTGCTGTTTGAACTGTCTCTCCAGGACAGTCCCTGGCCTTTCTACTAGGCTGTCACAGCAGCTTGGGCTGATTTCTGATTTTGCTGGGCATGGGTGATGGTGACGGTAGCAGTAGGGGGACTTAACATGGTAAGAGGGAAACGTGAACAGGCAGGGGTGACCTAGCCAGGAACAGAGACCAACAAACTCTCTGTAAGGAGCAACAGACCACTCTGTTACATCAAAACAGATTTCTTATCACTTATAAGGTACAGCATTGCGGGTGAGGTATTTAGACATCACCACTGTGCTGGGAAGTCTCCCTATTTCTGACAACCTGTACACACACCACTCAGATTTCTGGTCACCCAGGAGCATCCTTTAGAGGTCCTATTTGGATATCCTGCCCCACTCTCTGGTCACTACAGAAATACCCAGCTCATTGCCCAACACCCTGGCTCTTCCTCTCCTCTCTGCATGTTCTTCACCTGGAAGGCTGGTTAGAAACTGGCTCCCATCTCTTGACAGCTGCTGTCTCAGGACCCTCCCTACTCATGTCAGAAGGTATAACAGCTCCAGGATATTTACTGCAGCTCCTCTGGCTGTCACCTGCACTGAGGAATCTCCAGTCCTGCTCCACATCACCTCCTCCAGCACTGTCTGTTTTCCCTGTCACAAACGCATGATGACCTGAGCTTTCTATTTCTACTTTTTTTTTTCTATTTCTACTTTTAAAGCTCATGTTTCCTGGTTACCTCTAATCCCTCTGCTGCAGCAGCCAGCTTCCCGCAGGGGTCATCACTTCCACACAGGGAGCTCCAACTTGTGTCTATAGCATCAGCACCAGAGCCTGGAAAGACTTGGGTCCCCTTACTCTCCTGAGGTGCAGCACAGACAAGAAGGTGTTGACTCACCAAAGTTGATATTCCCAGTGCTACTGCTCCAGTGGACAAACTGGAAAGTCAGACTGACCCTGACCTCAGGGAGCTTTTGGTCTGTGTGTCAATGTGAGTGTGTAGACATTCGTATGGTGGGGTGTGCATACATGTCTGTGTATTGGGGAAATTGTCAGACTCAAAGGATGACTAAAACAGTTTGTGGCAGGTGGGAGGATTCAGGCAGAAGAACCTCCTGCCAGGGGCTACTCCAGTCTCGGGTTTTGTAAATCTGATTTAGGCCCTACCCAACACTGCTTGATTTCCCCAGCAAGTGAATTACCAGGGCTGAGGCTTTCCTGCCTGCATTGTCATTTTAAGCCCAGTCCTGTCAGGCACTTAGAAAAGCCTAACAACCAACTGGATGTATACAGGGCCGTGGACACAGCAGAATTAAGTCTGTTCACTGACATATTTTCAAGGATCAAGATCTTTCCAAAGATTATTCCAGCAGGAAGAAATGCATAATGCTAAATCTAAGTACCCCCCCACCTTAAAATTAGACATTAAAAAAATTCTGGGCCTAGGATTTAGCTCAGTGGTGCCACCACCTGCATTGCAAGTACAAGGTCCCAAGTTCATCTACAGTACACACACACAAAATTAAACATTGTATACCTTAAATGTACCAATAAAATTAATAAAAAATTTATACAAATAAGAAATAAGAACCAAGATGGATTATGTAAAGGTGCAAATTTCCAATGATAAATGTCATTACATTGTATACCTTAATTGTACCAATAAAATTTAAAAGAAATTTATTAAAAATTTTTAATTAAAACCAAGTAGTTAGAAAGAAGCTCACCAAGACATATTTTACCATTACTACAAAATATGGAGAAGTATCCAAATATCTAATTTTCTCATAAGAACAAAAGGAATCAATGGAAGGCCATGATGTGGTAAGATGATATGTGTAGCCATAAGCAGCTGTGAAGGGCTCTACACCAAGTTTTACATGGGGAGCGTCAAGCATGTAATTGCAGACCAAAGGTCACTGGTAAAGATGCTGGTTATCGTACAATATGGAAAAATGGAAATGTGTGCTTTTTAGAAGAGGGCAGTGTATCATACACTCGTGTCTTTTCTCTGCAGACATTTCAGCACTCAAAGCCTTGCAAGATCCCACCTTATCAAATGCATGAGGAGGGGGACCTGTACATTATGGATTACTGAGGCATATGTAGGGCACCTGGGCACACCCCAGGGCCAGGCTGCAAAGCTCGCACCCAGCCACCCACCCCAACTCACCCCCGCTGTTGCATAGGCCCAGCCCACAGTGCCCGGGCACCAGTATACTGGGCTTCACCAAGCAACCATCAGACCATGCACAAGGTCCTGGCGCCCTCTCGTGTCCTCCTGCCAAACTACAGATGTTGGCAAAGGCTAAGAACTTCCCTTTATCCTGCAGCATGGATGCAGCATGGATCCTGGGCAGGTAACTGGTTCCCTATCACCAGTGTGCAAATCCTGGGCTTATTTATGTAAACTTTCTTGTAGTCCTTCAGGTTTTCTCTTATGAACTGTCCTACGCTTTACTCATGTTTCTATTGGAGTCTTTGGATTTTCAATATCAATTGGTAGCCATTCTTTATACACTAGATAGATATCAACATCTTGTCACAAATATTGTCCCTATCTCTGGATTTTGATTATAGTATTTAGGGCCATAAAAATCTTTTGTCGGTGTCTGGGCAGGTACAGACATGGTAGGGTCATGGTTCCCACTCTCTGGCCTCCATTCAGGAATCACAAGAATATTAGGAACTAATGGCCATTTTTTTTCTGGCCTTTGGTGCCACTGCCGTTTCACCAGTTACCCCTACTACTGCAGTAGTCCCCACAGGCAGTGCATGAGCCCAGTCCTCTGCTATTCAAGTTGGTCCTTCTCAAGGTAGAAGGCTCATTTTTCTTCATTTTAAAGAAGCAGCAAGATCAACACATACAGACTCATGGATTTAGAAGTACAGCTGAAACTGTTAATTACACCTTCACTCCTCCCCCTCAGTACACTGCTCTCCCAAGGTCAGCAATCTGCAGTATATTCTTCTAGACAAGTACGAGTTTATGTACATGTTCTGAAATTCCTGTTGTTTTAACTTCACTTTGGGAGATGTGAGACCTATCTTAAACTTCTGGATAGTCACTTAGGTAATCAATAGTTTGGCTATAACAAGAAGCCATTTCCATCTATGAACATTTAAATTATTGTCACTTTTTTGCTATAATCAAGCTCTGAAAATAATCTTAAGCATATTTAATTGTGTATGTATTTGTATTCCTAGAAGTGATATAATACATATTTTAAAGTTGAATACATATTTTAAAGTTGTATACATATAGGGAACACTGGAGAAATTACTAAAAAAAAGATGCTAGCAAAAGTAAAAATTTGGCATGGTATAATATATAGTGTTAAAGAAATGAAGAACATGAAATTATGTCTGTAATATTATGCAAAATGTAGGAAACAATGTGCACATTGGACAAGGATAGAGAAGGCCTGTAAAAGAACTGAGTGGGAAGGGGTCAGGTTTCAGCAGGTCTTTTTGCTTTTGTTTGTTGGTTGTTTTTGGTACTGGAGATCAAACTTAGGACCTTGTGCTTTTGAGGCAGGTGTGGCACCACTGAGCTAAATCCCTGGCCCTTCAGCACAGTTTTTTTTTAGAGCTGCTATGGTCTTGACATTGTTGCAACAGATAAAGGAGCAAAAGCTTACAAGAGGACATGATATTTCAGGGTCAAGGATGAGGAACAGGTCATTCTAATTTTACTTCTAATAACAGTCTCTTTAGCAAGAAGCACCTGTGTCATGAATTAACAGATCTGTTTAGAAGGAGGAACACAAGTCATCTTGGGCTGCAGTCCCAGGACACAGCCATTCCTTTATGATGCAGTGACAGTGAACCTTTTAGAGATTTCAAAAATACAAACAGCCCACTGTGGCACATGAACCCATGAGCCATAGGTTCATCACCACTCAGTGTGTGACAGCCTGAGCCTGAGGTGTGATACAGCCATCATAACATCTGCTGGCCACAGGCAAGTGACCTATACCACCAGGCAGAGCCCAGGGACCCCAACTGCTCCAAAACCTGAAAAATCCACTTATATAAGTTTTGTCATTCTATTAGGTCACTCCATTAGGTAAAAGGATTCAACAGCCCTTTTTTCCCCTCTTAAATTAATAAACTATTGTTTTGGTTGAATGGGCAAAAGCAGTTTGGGGAATATTAGATAAAAGAACTCAGTGACAAAGACTCCTGATGGGATATCACCAGCAGGCCCACTTGTGGCAGACATGATCTACTAGATGCAGAGATCAGTACGTGTAAGCCTCCAGGTCACTCCCTCAGGCCCGATCAGCTACTGATGTGAGGGGGGGTGCAGTGAGACTGTAGAGGAGAAACACTGATGCAACCTTGAACAGGGATCAAGGTCAAGCACATATGAGCTTGTGATGTGCAGCACAGAGAAAGACGTGATGTCACCTCCGAGGTATTCTTGCCCCAAACCCAAATGTCAGAAAAATCCAAATTAAGATACATCCCACAAAATAGTGGATCAGTGCTACGCAAAGGTGTCAAAGTCACAAAAGATATGGGAAGACAGAAAAACCACTCTTGCATGGAGGACACTGAGGTGACATGAGGACTACATGCCATGGGGGACCCAGTCAGAAAAGGGCCTTAGTGGAGAACTGGTGAGCTGCAGACTTTGTTTGGGTTTTCACACTGCACTAAAGTGAATGCCTAGCGTAGGCACTTTGTGGTCATGAAGATGCTAGCATCAGAGGAAGCTGAATGAAGAGTATATGAAACTTTCTATGCTACTTTTGAAAATTTTTGTAAGTCTTAAAATTAGTTTGATATGTTTTTAAAAATCAACTCTCCAACTGCAAGCTGACCTCCCCACAGGAGAAGTCCCTACCACCTGGGGGAAGGGGTGAAGGCTAGGGCTCAGGACAACCTTGGGAAGGCCTTGGAGACTTACCCCCAAGTAAGGAGCCACAGAGGCATCCTCTGGTCTTCTCAGGCACACACAGGGAACATTATTAAAACAAAGGACTGAAGAAACATCTGTGACTATGTTAAACATACCTGCCTGACTGCACTCATGGTATAGAAAATGCCAAGCACATCCTGGAGGAATGGCCAGCTTCCAAGTGCCTGCCCAATACCTGCACCCCATTAGAACAAGACCTCCAAGTGGTTTGAGGAGAAATGGGAAGGGAGCACTAACAATCCCAGGGTCAGGAACAAGATCTCCAAAGCCACCACGTTTGGCTCCTGGGGTGACTGGCCTCCCAAGGCTGAGACAAGTGCGGGGCCCAGGATAATGCCTGCAGGCACCCCACAACCTAGTGGTATTTTTATTTTTAAAATGCTTTCCCCTAAATTCATTTGCCCTCATCCCTCTTCGAGTACCTACTTTGTTAGAACAAACTTACAAGTCGGTGAACAAAGAGGGTAATCTCTGAGCCCAGGCCTAGCTCCAAACCCAGCCAACCTCATCAGCTGGGGCCTGTGAGCAAATGACTTAAGACTCAGTCTCAGTCCCAGCCTGTGCAAGGGCCATGTGCAGCATCCACGTTTCCTACAGGGCTCTTCCAGATTGTGTGTGCAAGCTCTGTGGCCGCAGGACCAGTGCTGTCCGCTCACAGGCCACACCTACCATGCCTCTAGGTGAAGGCAGGAGTTTACTGAGTTCCTCCTTTTTCTTCTTCAGCATCTGGGCCTGCTCTCTCCATTCCTGCAGGGCTTTTTTGTCTCTGTAGGAAAAACATTTTTATATTAATGTCATAAGCTATGAGCACCTTCAAGCAAAGCTTACAAGGATTTCTATCTGTCATTTTCAGCTTCATGCAAACAGCATTTTTTTCTCCTGCCTGCTCATCCCCAGAGGGAATGCATGAATTTTCCCATACATTTTGGCAGAGTTAGGAACAGCAGATTCTGACCTGAGGTCCTCTGTGTGTCTGTGTGTTCCAAGGCAGCCAGGTATCCCCAGGCCCTAGTGTCTGAAACCCTAGTGCTAGACCCTCTCTGGGAAGGATTATCAGCTGGGCACTGTAGGCACCCACATCAAAGGCCTTCAGGTGTTTGCTTGACAGGGGAAGGTTTCAAACTCACAAGTCGACCTCTTGCTAGCTACTTGCCTTCTGCTTTAAAAACAGCATCTTCAGTCCTTTACAGCTCCCCAGGCAGAATTCCTGATACCTCAGGTAGGACCAGGCCCTTTACGTGGTATTGACCTGTGGCTGAGAGCTCCTTGCAGCAAGGCCTACAGGAAGGCTGTGGCTATACAGGAGGGTAGAATTTCTAAGCCGTCCATAAGTTTGGAAACGGACCCTGGTCTTGTATACCCTGAAGCCACTGCTGCAGCCCCAGGGCTCACCTGCCCATCTGAACCAACTCCTGCTCCCAGTTCATGTGCTTGGCTTCCTTCCCTCGTGCCCTGAGATCCAGCCTCTTCTCATCACTCCTTCTCAGCTGACATCTGGACATTGTCCCATATGCATCCTGGCCTTCTGCCCACCTACCACCTCCTAAGCTCTCTTTTTGTGGGCACAGTAGCTCAGCCCTCCTGGGCTTTGCCTCCCATGCCTCACCCTCCTGTGCCATCAGAACTTTCCCCAGCCTTCCAGGGCTCTAACCTCAAGGCCCAGGTCTGGGTGTTTCTTGGCACTTCACAGTAGGTGAGGCCATGTTTTGCCACCTGCCTGGATGGGTCCTAGACCCCAGCTCCAGCATGCTAGCACTCTCTATATCCTCCATGCCACTCTTGGACAAAGAACTCCATGGGGCGTCTGCCACTTCTCAGTCACATGGGACAGGAAGTATGTGCTGTAGGAGACATGAAGGGGGAGGGTTGTGCCTGGAGTCTTGAACCACACTGCAGGGCTCCTATGGTTGTTCAGTAAGGAGCACATAGCAAGGTCTCTCAGAGCTTGAGGCAGGGTGAAGAAGAGGTTTTATCTGCTCTTTGTATTCAAACTATTTTTCTCAAAGCTATGTGACCTGTTACTGAAGGAAGACAACCAAATACAGGTGTGTGTGTAAAGGGCCGGGGATTTAGCTCAGTGGTACGGCCGCCTGCCCAGCCTTACAAGTGTGTGTGGGTTCCATTGCTGGCTGCTTTGTGAGCAGTCTGTACCCAGCGGGTCCCAAAGAAACAAATGCACCTTCCCACAGACAGTGTCAACAGTGCTTATTCACAGCTGGGCTCCAGAAGGCAGAGAGAAGGAACCACAGAGTGGTGCACAGCCAGGCACCTCCCAGGTCCTCTAGCACACCATGGAAGGAATGACTGCTGGAAGCCAGGAGAGAAACTAGTGTTGGCATGTGGGGGTGGAGCCAGTCCCAGGAAGCTCACAAAGGAGTTGGGAACTAAGAATCTACCCTCATTCTCCCCATTGCCCTGATGCCTGAGGAGCCCCTCACTGGCTGAACCCCACCATGAGGTGAGGGGCACAGAGGCACCATGGACATGGTCCATGCCTATGACTTCCTAGGGCCTGGAGTGGAGTGCAACTGGGTAATCAGCAGAGCCGAAGGGTACAGCCGAGGAGATGCTCAGATAGGGCTGAGGCAGCCTCCTGACAGCAAGCAGGCTTCCACGAAGCCAAGGGCAGGGCTGTATTCGTGTGGTCAGCAACACAAGAGTGAACTCACTAATGACTATGTCATTTCTCAGAATAGTACAGGAGTCACGCAGTATCCAGTGAAGATGAAAGGATTGAGGAAGAACAAGAAACTAGGGAAAACACAAGAAGGCAAGCAAGAACAGCGAGAAGGCAGGGCAGAGATCTGCACAAAGGATAACTATGATGATCAGAACGACCCATGCCAGCCTCGCCAAGAGGCACCTTGGAGGGCGTGAAGCAAGAGCCCGCGTGCTCCCAGGACCAGGGAGAGAAAAGTAAACCAAAGACTTCACCTGAGGCCAGGTGATCCAACTGTGGCTCCAGCCCTCAGTCCCACACCATCACCAGTGGACAGCTGGCTGTGGGGAGACCTCACCCTCCTCTACAGGCGTACCTCCTCCGCTGCTCCATCAGAGCCTGTTTCTCGCGGAGCTCTCTCAGGGCTGTCACTCGACGTTCTTCAAGTCTTTTTGTTGGCATCATTGTTTGGTAAGGTGATGAGAGAGCAGGTAATATGTTCTTGAAGGAGGGCCTCTTGCTTCTAAAATTACAACTAGTTATCTATGTAATAAAATTGTGGTTTTTCACATCCACATGGAGCTGCACTGTTACCAAATAAACACTTAAAAACTTAAAAGCATGGCTATAGATCAACTGCATTTTAGAAAGATCATAAAGATTACCGAGTATGGTCACTCCACAGAAAGCCATCGTATCAATCTGTGTTGATTCTAGGAAATACTCTAAAGACAGATTACAATAAATGACCACCACTGAAAGCCAGCTACTGAAACAGAACTTCTTAGGAAAAGATGATCTTAAGTCAATCCTAGGAAGCAGCTTACAGCATTAGCAAGTGCGCCTGAATGAATGGGCAGGCTCAGCCTGGCTGCCTCAACCTCCTGAGCCACCCAAATAAATCTCCAAAGGCTGGGATCTGGTATTTAAATCCAATGTACTGATAAAATTATAAAGTACTATTAATAAGCTTACCATGATTTACTTGGATAAATCATTATTATTATTCATAACAGTAAGTGAAGGAAGGAAAGAGGTTTCTAAATAGCAGGTTAGAGTATTTCTGTTCATTCAGTGCATGCCTATGCTCACTAAGAATATTCCAGTAGCTCCAGAGCCTCTGAGGCCACACCATAGTTAGAAACCTGAGGTACATGCTGCCAGGACTCCCAAGGCTGTAATCTGTCAGAAATGCTTCAAGGTGTTTTTAATTTTTAATATGATTAAACCTACATGGCAGCTGAAAGATCAGTGCCATAATCACCAGCCACCTTCCATGCAGATCCCCACCTCCCCCATTTCATACTGCCTGAGGTACCCGTCCGTAGACAGGATCCCAACAGCCCCTCACGAGGTTTTAAACCACAGGTAGACGATGCATTTGTTCCTGCTGCGCTGGGGGTGGATGTGGGGAACTAGAGACCACTGTTAACTCTAATATTTTTTTTTTGGTACCAGGAATGGAACTCAAACTAAACCTTGGTGCCTGCGAGGCAGGCATGGCGCTGTTGAGCTAAATCCCTGGCCAAACTCTAGTATATTTTCACCCCCTAAACCCTGTTATCATTCCCTTAGATAGGATGACATACCCTAGAAAGTGTGCTCTGGATTCACCAATTATTATTTTCCACATTATTTTTATTTATATAATTTATACATACATACTCATATAAGCACACATGCCACATGTGCACATGTGGACCTCATGTTTTAAGAAATAATTATAAAATAATTTTACAACATTGCAATGATCAAGAAAATTCACCCTTGGCTTTTGAGTTTTACCTGAACATGTGTCTTGGCTTTGAGTGTTCTTTCCCCTTAGTGTTTAATGCTGCCTTGATATTTGGAGGCAACTCAATGGGTAAGAGCTGGTTTTCAAGAACCTCTGCCTTTTCATTTTCAACAATCTCCTGCCTCAGCTTCCAGAAGCGCTTGATTTCCTCCTCACTCAGCCACTGTTCTGGAGATTCAGTGGATCTTCTGAGTACACTCAGGTCTAACCTCTCAATAGGTGGGGGAAAGTCCACTTTTTGTTTTATCACAGCCACCGTTGGGTTCTGAGTAGTCACAATTTCTCTGGTAGACATCTTATATTTTGATAAATGTTGCACGAGATCTGGAAGCCCATGTAGGTCCATCTTTTTAACAGGTGAGCTCTCTGGTGGGATAAAATGCCACTTTAATAGCCTGTACATCAACACTACCTTCCAAGATTGACCTGAATAGCCCAGTGTGGCACTCATTGCTTTGCCAAGATAGGTAGAAAGTAGAAAGTGATTCCATCAGTCCTCATAAATGCCTGTTCATGAAAACAGGGCTTCAATCTGGAAAGACTTACATTGTTTCATGTCTTTTATGGTATAGTTTCTTTTGAAAAGCAAAACTTTCTTCTGGACTGTTTCTCCATTGAGAGCTGTTGGGAGTTTCCTCCAGCACAATGCAAGGCCCCCAGCTGTTGACTGATGGCCCTGCCCCTGTCTTTGCACAGCCTACCAATTGCTGTGTACAGGAAGCTGGACTGTGTGAGGACACTTTAGGAATATAATCAACATTTTATTTATTTATTTATTTTTGGTACCGGGGATTGAACTCTGGTCCTTTGAACTCTGGTCCTTGCGCTTGCAAGGCAGGCCACCGAACTGCTGAGCTAAATCCCAGGCCCTTAATCAACATTTTAAAATGATGCATCCCAGGGACTTTTGTAATGGATGAAGAACAAAGACCAATTAAGCACACACCTGATCACTTGGGGACAGAGCATTTTCCATTCAGCTTATAGTGCTATCTAAGATCAGGAACACACAATGCTCCTTTCCTCCCTCCTGCCAGGCTACGCCCTTCCGTGGCTCTGGTCTCCTCAGAGCCCATCAGCCTAGACTACTCCCCACAGTGCTCACAGACCACTCTGTCTCACTAGACTACTTCCTTCAACAAGCCACAAACTAGAGGAAATCATTGGACAAATGTTTTCTTTTGTTCAGGGAGGGGATGTTTAAGGCAGTCTTGCTGTGTAGCCCTGGCTGGCCTTGAACTCATTCATGATCTTCCTGCCTCAGTGCTAGGATTATAGGTGTGTACCCCAAGCCTCACAGGAGAAGATCATTTTTTTTTTTCATTCCAGGGATCGAACTCAGGACCTTGTGCTTGTGCAGCAGGCAGAGGCACCACTGAGCTAAATCCCCGGCCCTTTTTTTATTTTTTATTGTTTTTTTTTTTAAGGAGAAGATTCTTGAGGCACCAGAAGGCTGATCTTAAGGACTGAAAAACAAACAAATACAAACAAAAAAACTAAAGCCAACAGCTTCAATTTATAATGCATAAGCATATTAAGAAAGGAACGACTCTCTTACTCCTCTTTTGTTTAAAGTAATATATTCTGTTCCTTGGAATGTTCCACCTGACTCAAAACCTTGAGGGGAGTTATTGCATTCATTGTTGGAGCCTTCTAATCTGAGACCTAGATGTCTGTGGACATCTTTCCACCAAACTGCTTTCTGGGCAGCTTCAGAACAGTGTATAATGGAAACCTGTTGAGAGCACTTAAAAGCACATCTACAAAAAAATGATTACTAGCACTCTGGGAGGCTGAGGCAGGAGGATCACAAGTTTGCACCCAGCCTGGGCAATTTAGTAACTCAGTGAGATCCTGTCTCAAAATAAAAAATAAACATCCGGGGCATGGTGGTGCACACCTGCAATCCCAGCACTTGGGACACTGAGGCAGGAGGATCACTGTGAGTTCAAGGGCAGCTTGGATTACACAGTGAGTTCAAAGCCATCCTGAACTGCATAGTGAGACCTTATCTCAAAAAAAATGACTTATTTGTAGCTCAATGTAAAGGCTGTGGTATTAATCCCCAACACAGCAAAACAACAAAGCAATGATAACAAAAACAAAAAAACCTGAAGAAAGTACAGGATCAGCTATTGTTTCTTGATCACTTAAGACTGTTTCCAAGTATAAAAGCCATCTGGGTCACAAGGCAAGGTCACACTGCTGACACAGACCTAATTATTTACACATTTTATTTACATTACATATATATTACCTTCTTGGCTAATTAGGGATGTAGACAAATATACATTCAAATGTTAGCATGTTCTTTTGTGGGGGCAGTACCGGGAATCAACACTTGCAAGGCAGGCACAGCGCCCCTGAGCTAAATCCCCACTTGTAGGCATGTTCTTTTTGTTTGCTTGTTTGTTTGTTTGTTTTGGAGTTTTGTGGTGTTTTTTTTTTTGGTACCGGGGATCAAACTTGGGACCTTGGGCTTGCAAGGCAGGCAGTGGAAACACTGAGCTAAATCCCCGGCCCAGGCATTTTCTTAAGTATAAAGCCTATGACTTAAAATAGCAAAATTTTAGATATTGTCACGTTAATACTTCAGAATATTTACTTTTCCAGTGAATATTCATTATTATTCTTTATTTTTATTTTACTTTACTTTTTCTGAATATAACTATAGGGCTCATTCAACACTGGAAAATAAGCAGCTGGTCAAGGAGTAGACACCAAGAAATGTAAGTAGACAAACACGCTTACAAATCCACTTAACACTAATTTCTTGCACCTAGAAAGGAATAGGAGACATTTCATTGTGCTTATTTTTAAAGTTGTCTAACAGAGCACAAGGACCTCTTGAAGTAGCTGCTTGCTGGTCACTTAGAGGCAGTGACTAATTCATTTGATTTCTCCCAATAAGCTTTTACCAACCTCAGTCTAGACAAGCTTTGTAATGGACACTGAGGATATAAATCCATAAACACTGAACCAGACAGGGCTGGATGTGACTGGTTGTGTGTGGAGATTTGCATTTGCTATATGAGCTCAGCAGAAGACAAGGGATCCAGATCTTTAGGATATCATCAAGAGAAGACAGGCCCTACCCTGATTTTAAAAGCTCTAACTTTAGTGTTCATGTTGCCTGTCATGTACAATCACCCTACAAACCTTGAGAAGCTGCATCCCTAGGGAAGTCATGCTCTGCTGCACAGATCCGCAGGAAGGTCAGGATGGCTGCGACTCCTTTCTGTACAACAAGCTGAGGAGGGGATTCCAGGGGGCAATGTCTTAAATTCAGTGCCCTTAGTGTGGCTATGTTCCCTGCAACAGAGGAGAGAAGCCTCAGTGCCTGCATGCTATTCTATGGAACAGATACCAGGAGGAGATGAAAGCAACCATTCTCACATTTAACAACCATTCTAGTCAGTATTCGGGATAAAGGCAGATGTTGGACATTTGAGGTTTTCTTTTTTAAAATTCTGCAGCAGGGCTGGGGACGTAGCTCAGTGGTAGAGTGCCTGCCTCGCAAGTATGAGGCCCTGAGTTCGATTCCCAGGATCTACCCCCCTCGATAAATAAATAAATAAATACATACTCTGCAAGTAAAACAGATTCCACAGATTAAGATTAGGCTAGTGGAAAAAAATTAAAGAACAACAACAGCAATGTTTATGTAAAATACATAGTTACTATATTATCTAAAATGCCCGTTTTCATTTTCAACATAAAAACTATAAGACAGACAAAGAAAGAAAATGTAACACATTACTCAGGAAACAAGCTGTCTCTGGGCACACCCAGATGCTGAATTTAGCAGAAGAAAGTCTTCAAAGTAGCCATTATAAATATGTCCAAGGAAATGAAATAAGCTATATTTATATAATCAGAGTTAAATAATTAACTCAACAAATATGGGATGTCAATAAAAATAAATTATACAAAATAATAAATTACAATTTTAGAGTAGAAAATTACAATAATTGAAGTGAAAAATTCACTAGAGGGACTCAATAGCATATATAAGACTCAAGAAGAAACTATCAGTGAACTTGAAAATGGAATAAGAAAAATCATTCAGTCCAAAGATTAGAGAGAAAAAATATTGAACAGAGTCTCAGAGACAACATCAAGTTACCCAGCATAAACTATGTAATAAAAAACAAAAGAGGAAGGAGCAAGAAAATATGAGCACATCAGGGCCAAAATGTCCAAATCATATAGTAAACATTAATTTACATATCTATGAAACTTAATGAATTCCATGGATAATAAGCCAAAGAGATTCACACTTGGCAAAATACGAAAAGAGAAAAATGCATAATTGCATAAACAGTGAGAGAGGGGCCGGGGATTTAGCTCAGTGGTTCCACCGCCTGCCTCGCAAGCCTTAGGACCCAAGTTCAATTCCTGGCACTAAAAATAAATAAATAAATAAACAGCAAGAGAAAACAATTCAGTGAAACCCAAAGAAGCTACAACAGTAAGATTAATACCTAACTTCCAGTCGGGAACAACTTGGCCAAAAGAGGGTGAAGCAGGGCATTCAAAGTTCTGAATGAAAGAAATTCCCACTGATCACACTCTCCATACCAAGCAAAATGATCATTCAACAGTTCAAGTGGGAATCGAGGCACTCCAATATTGACACAGGTAGAAATAGGAAGTCTGAATGGATCTATAGCAGCTTCTTAAAATGACAGTAATTAACCCAATCCCACCCCCTCATCCCCAATCTCAAGGCCAGTTGAAAACCACAGAGTGTAAAGGATGGGTTTACCTTTTCTTTATCTTTCTTTTTTTTGTGGGGGTACCAGGGATCAAACTCAGGACCTTGCACTTGCCAGACAGTCATGGCGCCACTGAGCTACATTCCCAGCCCCAAAAGAATTGTTTAAAGACCAGTCGAATTAGCAGAAGAGTCAGTGGACTCAAAGGAGGCCCAACAGAAAATAACATGACCTAGAATATAGAGAAAAAAGAGTATATGAGAAGAAAAAGAGTATACAAGATGTGGACAGAATCACAATTTAAACTTGAGCATCTAACTTGAGCCATGGAAGGAAGGAGAAAAGAAAAATAAATAAATAATGACCTGGAAATTTATAAATCTGATTAAAGACATTACTAAACAGATTTAAAATGCTCAGTGAACTCCAAACAAGGCCAACAAAAAGAAAACCAGATCAAGAAACAACAGAGACAATGTACTAAAAGTAAAACATGAAGAGAAACTTCAACCAACCACAGCCAGAAAGAAAGACATGTTACTTTCAAAGGAAAAATAGAAAGACTGAGTTTTCAGTGCAAATAAAAGAAGCAAGAAGATAAATACTTTTATTTTTGTGGTACCAGGGATCGAACTCAGGACCTTGGTGCTTGTGAGGCAGGTATAGCACCACTGAGCTAAATCCCCGGACCATTACATTTTTTAAAGTAGTGAAAAATCCCTAAAATCTAGAAATTCTATACTCAGGCAAAATATGTTTCAAAATAAAGGAAAAATAAAGATGACTTCAGAAAAAATGCTAACTAAGACAATTAGTCACCAGCAGACACAACAGCAATATTGCTAGAGAGAAGCTTGAGACTAGAGTGTGGCCCAGACAGAAGCAGAAACTTTGGGAGAAGTGCAAACATCAAAAAGGGTGAACAAGTAAGGAAATACGAACAAATACTGATGGTTTTAAAGTGTTCCCTGGGTCTATATTACATATGAAAGTAAAATATATGAAAACAATGCCCCCCAAAATTCAGTAAGGAAGTAATACAGCTTTAATTTGTAAGGCTCCCTATTTGGAAGTACATTTCAGCTACACTATAGTAAGTTAAGGACATGCAATAAAGTCTTTAGGCTAATCACTGAAATAAAAATATAAAACAGTGCAAGGAAGGGGTCTTCCTTCAGCAAAGTTGAGTCAATCCAATCAGATTGAGTTTCCTAGAGAAAACTAGACACTGGGCAAAAAGTAAAAACCAACTACATATAGGCACCAGGGCAACAAAAACCAGACTGAACCTAGTGGAGGGATGATAGCATCAATATCAGAATCATACTAGGTGAGTTTAATACTGGAAGGATTTCTGCCATAGGATTGCTCAGAGAGGGCCACTACTAGTAGCTATGACATAGATAGAAATTTTTACAGTTTCGGCCAGGCGTGGTGGTGCATGCCTGTAATCCCAGCACTTGGGAAGCTGAGGCAGGAGGATTACTGCGAGTTTGAGACCAGCCTGGGCTACATAGCGAGTTCCAGATCACTCTCAACTATATACTGAGACCCCGTCTCAAAAAAAAAAAAGAAAGAAAGAAAGAAAAAGAAATCTGTACAGTCTTAATGACTTGCAGGGCTGGTGGAGAGAACTCAGAGCTAACTGAAGGTATAAATTCAAGAAAAAAGAGAACAGATGTGGAAGAACCCTAATATTATGCATATAAGTTCTACACAAAATTCTCTGCTGAGTTTTGAAATTCACTAGCATGGGCAGACTCCAAGCATCCAGCCAAGGCTAAAAGGACTGAGGAGAGATTTACTTACTGCCCACTACAAGAAAGAGAGAGAATTTGAAGTCTCAATCCTGGGAACTTAAGTAACTTTTAAAAAAAGAATGTAATAAAACTTATATCTACACATATATACACACACACAAATAAAGGGCAAAATAGAAGACAGATAAATAGGAAGTATGAAGAAGTTCAAATCATTCCCCAAATTACCTATTCCATTGTTTCAAAAATATTTTAATATATAAGCTAATTGTTCCATTTATTCTACTAGTTTCTCTTAGTTCATTGAAAAGAAAGTTTTGTGCTATTATCTGTTTCTTTGTAAGAGGGTATCTTTTTTGGCTATATTTTACTCTCTGAGTAACTACTCTGAAGGTAATGATACACAGTGTATTAACTATTTCTATCCTCTTATTATTCTGCTATAAAATTTTGTGGTTTTTTAATAAAATAAAAGAAAGTGTGAAAATAAAACCTGCTGGCCATAGTGATACATACTAGTGATCCCAGAACTCGGGAGGCTGAGACGAAAGGATTATGAGGTAGAGACCAGTTTAAGATAAGCCTGCCTGGGCTACACAGTGAGACCTTGTCTCACAAACACACACACGTACATGCACACACCCCAGAATTTCTACAAAGTGTCTATTACAATGTCCAGGATATGGTCTAAAATGACTAGACATATGAAGGGACAGGAAATTGTGATTCCTTTCTGAGAGAAATTTGAGACAAAGTATACTATGAAGACCAACCATGAGATAATACAGATTAGCAGATAAGAATTTTAAAGCAGCTCATATTAAAATACTACAAATATTAGCCAGGCATGATGGTGCACACCTGTAATCCTGGCACTCAGGAGGCTGAGGCAAGAGGACTGCTACGAGTTCCAGGCTAGCCTGGGCTGCATAGTGAGTTCAAGGCAAACCTGGAATACATAGCAAGACCCTGTCTCAAAAGAAACAAAAGCTATAAATATTAAAAATTGCTTTTTCTCTTAATTTCTTTAAAATATACAAGACTGCTTACATTAAAAAATAACATTTTATTGTGGGTCTATAATATATAGACATAATACAAAGGAAAACCACTGCATAAAGGAGTGAAGTAAGTGGTTTTATATAGTTACATTTTATATGTCATGGTACAATGCTAATGCTGAGTGCATTTTGTAATTCCTATTACAACTAATAAACTATTAAAAGAGTAAGAGTTATAACAAAAAAATTAAAATGAAATCTAAATAAATATCCAATCAGTACAAAATCATCTTTTTCATTTGTGGTGTTCTGTAAGTGTGTAACAGTACTGCATTGTGGTTTTCATATGTATTTCTCCAAAGGCTAATGACACTGAGGACTTTGGCATCTACTTATTGAGAATCTGATATGTATTACAGTAGCACTCAAACCCTCTTATGTTTACTGCCTGTATGATATGTGTTTCTATTCCTTTGCTTTCAACTTATCAGCATTTATGCTATCTGTATTTTTAATACATTGTGAGTAGGAAGTATATAGTTGGGTTTTTCATCCAGTCTGACAATCTCTGAATTTTAAAGGGAATATTAAATTAGATGTCAATAAAATAAAGATAACTGAAAAATCTCTAATTGTAAATGAAAGCAGCACATTGCCAAGCAGCACATGTGTCCATGTGTACCAGAAAAACATTTTGAGCTGAATGAAGAAAACGTTTTAAGTCAAAACATGTAAGGCAGTGTTTAGAGCAAAATTATAGTTGCAAATACATATATTAGAAAAGAAAGATTTAAAATAAAAACCTAGGTTTCCAACTCAATAAACTAGAAAAAATAAATCAATCTAAAACACAAAAATGATACAGAAATTTGAGATAAAACAGATGTACGATGTAGAAAATTATCTTCCTTTTCATTTATAGTAGGGAGAATGCACATAAACAATTGAACTATAGTTACATGTACATGTAGGAAAACCTCAAAAGCATACTGGTGAGCCAAGAAAGCAAAGCAACAAGAATAAAGATGGTGTGACACAAAGTTTAAATGCAAGCAATGTTTAGGGGCCCAGAAGAGGTGCAGGTCCCATTTAGGAAAGCAAAGTGACATCATGGGCACATACACAGGCAAAGACACAGTGACATCATGTGTCTTTAGGCTGTGCGCTGTGAACACAGCACTTCATTCTCATGGTTCCTCGATGCTTACATACCCTACCTATAGATATATACATGATACAGTATAAAAGTTCCTAAGAGAATCCTAGAATGGAGATAGAGAGCATTTCAAATATCACTTAGCCTGCTCTCCCATGTTACATCTGACATTTCCATTATAAGGTCATGACTTCAAAAGACGGCATTTTAAAATCACCTTTTATTTTATTGTTCTAACACTCACCCAGCTCCATAGGTAACATTTTGATAGGATTTCTTTCTAAAAGCAAAGTCTTCAAATGCCTTTGAAATAAAACAAAACAATAATTTAAAGAGCAGTAAAATAACCATCCTTGAAATATGCCATCAAATCTCTTTGGTTTTTCTTCTCTTTCAGAGGACAAGTGCAATAGGGATGTACCACACAAGTTTACAATATGTATATGCTATTAGCCAGCACACAGAGCCAGGTGAAACTCTCTCAGCATTGGCACTACTGACATTTGGAACCAGGTAATTCTTAGATGCGGGAGTTTGTCCCATGCACCTTGGGTATTCAGCAGATACCAGTGTACTACCCACCCATGCCCAGCTGTGACAAGGACTAATGTCTCCAGACAATGCCAATGGTTTCCTGGGGACAAAAGCAACTCCAGCCAAAAGACTACTGAGGACTCCTGCTCTGGGCTTTCACATCTTTAAAGTTAAGACCACCACCTCAATGCATACCAGTACTTCCAGAGATGTTTGGGAGATTTCTGCTGCAAAGGATATTTCATATGCTCAGAGATATGTCATTTGCACAGTGGGGCTCCCTTTTCTTGAGCACCTCTGGTAGACAGCAAGACTCCTGACGCCTGGCTAGTCTCCTCTGCTATACAGCTAGGCTTTGCTGAGAGACCGTGAAGAACAGCTGCTGGAAACTACTGCACCTTTTAGCCACCAGGGCTGACTTACTGCTTGTGCCACCGCCGCCGCAACAGAGAAGAGGAATATGTGGGCAGTCTGGGTACAAGCGCTGGCACAGAAGAGAAGCCCCTACTGGTATACCAGCATGCCACCCTTGGAGAAAAGCCTCTGCTGGCCTTTTTGTTTGTTGTGGCATCATGGGAACCACATGTGATTCTGATTCATGGAAGGCTGGATGGCACAGGGGAGCTGTGGTGTGGCTGGGAAGTAAGTCAATCCAGATTCTACCTCTGCAGCTTTTCCTCCTCAAAAAGCCTCTCACTGGAGGACAGTCACATACGACAGGCAGCTGGGTACATTCACATTCCAGAAATAAATTAGCACGTTAGAGGAAGGCATTGCCTGACATCTCATTCTGCCTTGGCAAGTAAAAAACTTCAAACCATATCAGAGCGAACCAGGGTCTCAAAGGTTTGAAATACACAATTTCACACATACAAAATTGAGACTAGTATTTCACTTAAATCAAGTCTAATTTTTTTATTGGCAACACCACAGGAAAATCAGATTAGTTAAGGATTAGACAATTTTTTAAGTACACTGTCTTGGTAAACAGTGAAAGATACCATCTGAAGAGAAACCAGAGTATGGCATACTTTCTTGAGCTTTCCTTACTACTGAAGGTTTTCAGGAACAAACTTTATGAAGAAACCTTTTCTTGATGTGTACAAAGGTGGGTCATTTAAGTGTGGTTATCTCTGCTCATGATTTTTATTTAGCTCCCTTTTAATTTTACTCGTAGAGGAACAGCCAGCAAGGACAGCACTCTTTTCTATAAGGCTAACAAAAAAGGGTCCTCCAGAAGGGACAGCAGAAGATGGCAGCAACACACCCTCGGCTTATCCAGTGCCCAAAGGAAGCCCTAGGCTACTTGGGTTGTGGTTGAGGACAGTAGAGTAGGAGAATGTTTACAAAATTTTAAACTAGAAGTATACAAAGGGATGTCTTACCTTATATAATATTATACTAAAATATTAGTGTTCACACTTTAAATGATGAATTCTTTAATGCTAGTCCCTTATATTCTATCAGTAATTTAAGGCTTACTCATCGATTATTTCATTCCACTGATTTTCAAATGAGCATATACATTTAGATGCTGAATTGAACATGTTTGCCTTAGGAAGCAACTGATCTTATTTCTTAAGTCTTCCCTCTGCTAGTAAGCTCACATGTCTAAAACAGCAATAAGGGGAAAATGTTAATAATCATTGTTTTAATTATGTTTTTTGAGAAGTTTAAGGCTTTTAATAAGCCCATAATTACTTAAAATTTCTAATTAATATATTTCAGCTCTTCAGCAAGCTGATTTAATTTTAATATAACAGTTTATAAATCACAGGCCAAATTATATCTTAAACAACACAAAGCAGCTGGTTTTGACTGGCAAAATTGAAGACTTCCAAAATTTGAGAACTGTGCATTTATTTTAAGAAGTGGTACTTACAGGAATAGGCTTTAGTTTATTTTTACTCTTGAGAAGCAATTACTCTCCAGAACTGAGTGCTGAGGTTAAAATAATTTGTGGACACAAAGCACTCACTTATCCCAAACAAAGAAGATGACAATCTGTGAGGCAGAAAGTGTTCCCTAGCCATGGAACTCCAAGTTCAGAGATTCGCGAGGACTCCTGGGCATGGGTGAGGAACAGGGGAAGGGCCTGGAGATCTCACTCAGCTCTTGCCCCACACACTTGGTGACAGGGTGCCTGAAGCACTGTTCTCTGGGCCAGGTCTGTTTTTGACCCACCCTTTAGACACCAAGGTGCCCAGAGCTCCAGGAAGGAAGTTCCTAGTTGTGTCTCCTGCCTCGACACTAACTTATTGTCAGACTAAGCTGCTTTCTTGCAGAATCAGGGACCCATGGGGAAGATGACTCACCGGGCAGACAATTCATTATAAATTCAGGGGTAGTTAAGGGCTTTCAACAAGACTTATTCTGCTGCTACACAGTGGCCTATGGGGGACAGAATCACCAGGGACAGATTACTTTCAGAAGAACTGGGATCAGTCTTGTATATCTCTGTTCTTCTCTCACCCCACATCCAACCCAAACCCTGCCAGCTCTCCAGTCCACATGAGGTTATGCCTTGGCTATCATCAAATGCATGGACAGCTACAGTGGCTGCCCAGCCTCTCTTCCAGCATCCACTCTCATCCCACAGGCTCCTTTACTCTTAGAGTGATCGCAGGCCAAATCCAATTACACAGCCTCCACTCAAGCCACCCTATGACTTCCCAGTTCTTTCAAAATAAATATCAAAGTTGAGAACATGGGTTATAAGCGATGGTGACTTTTTTTTTTAGCTTTGTCTCTTACCATGCTTTAGATCTGCTTTATTACACTGGCCTCCTTGCCATTCCTGGCACTTGTCAAGGGCGTGCCTACCCCAGAGCCTTTGAATGTGTTCTCTCTGCACAGGATCTGAAATATTTGCCAAGAGGCAAGGACACAACAGTTTCTAAGAGTAAAGAAACAATAGCACAAAAAATGGGCTCAGGGAATGAGCATGATTCATGGAGAAAAGTCTTGGCTGCCGATTAGGGACCTAGGTAGAGGTGTGATTTTCAAAGAGGGGACAGGATTGTGCCCATAATTGGGAGTGTGAAGAAATCCTTGGATTTAGAGTGGCAGGAATATAGCAGGACAACAAGCATTGCTTGCTTGAGGGTCTCCAGTTTTTCAAAAAAAGAATTTACCATTCTTTTCTGGGAACTAGTACAGATTACATGGTGCCTATGGGAACAAAGTAGTTGAATCTAATTCATCAGAGGTATTCTTTTATTTGAAGGTAGCTTCACACAGGGAGTCAGAAGTAGAATTAGCTATTACAAAAATAGCACAGACTGTCCAAAGGTACTGAAACTCCTGCCATTCTGCATGGTACCAAATAGCTCCAGTTATAGTCATGTCTAGGTGTATTTGGTTCCTCTGAGCTGGCCCTAAAAAACTATGCAATGCTTCTATTTTATAGTAAAAACTCACTAAGGAGTAGAAGCCAGACTGCAAAAGAACAAGAACTTGTGCATTTTAAAAAGATCATTTTTTAAAAAAAAATCTAGACTATATATAAACATACAACTTACTTGTGAGATCCAATCCCAGAAGGAAGCGCCTTAATTTTATTATATCGGAGGTCGAGCCAAGTCAGGTTTGGCAGTAACTGAAAGAAATCTTTAGGAATCATGCAGAGGGCATTTCTCTGAAGATGCAAATGCTTCCATGGCAAAGAAGAAAGAATCACATGTTGTTATATGTTCTGTCAACCAACTGAATGTTAAAATGTGATATATTCAAAAAGCACTTCCAGGGCTGGACATTTAGTGGCGCTGTGCCTGCCTCAAAAGTGGAAGATCCTGAGTTCAATCCCTGGTACCAGAAAAAAAAAACCCAAAGCACTTCCAAAGGAACTACTAACAACTGCAACCACACGACTCAATTAAAAAATAACGTTTTACCCTTAAAGAATTTAAATAGTTGGAACAAGCATTAGAAAGAGCCACTTTCAGAGCTGAAAGTGACTTCCTAAATGGTTCATGTGCTCTCCCAAGCATATCAGTTCCTCTATCAAATATCCTCTGACAGCTTCCTTCCTTTCTTTCTTTTCTTTTTTTTTTTTTTTTTTGGGTTGGTACCAGGGATTATACACTGGACCTTGCACTTACAAGGCAGGCATGACACCACTGAACTAAATCCCCAGCCCTCCTTTGACACCATTCTTAATCCCAGTGATTTTAAAAATAATTTGTCTTCTTTCTGGGCCCCACATTCAGTGTCACACCTCTTAGCTCTAGTAAACTTTCTGCTGTCATGTCTGGTCTGAGGGATTCACCCTAGGTTAATAATTAAGAGGAAACTAAATGATAGAGCCACTAAGATATTTGCTGTGGCATTATTTATGACACACAGCCATACAAAATCATCTCAAGAACCATCATTTCAGGAACAGTTTGATAGATACATCAGCTTAGTGGATTTTTACATCATCATCATAAATAAGAGAAGGTAGAAGAAAAATTGCAGGTACACCGAATATAGAATATATATACAATTGTCCCCGTTTATCCACAGAGAATATATTCAAAGGGCCCAGTAGATGTCTGAAGCCATGGACAGTACTGAATATACACTATGCTTCTTTTCCCCATATGTACATACCTATGATAAGGTTTAACTCCTAAATTAGGGACAATAAGAAATTAAGAGGGCCGGGGATTTAGCTCAGCAGTTCGGTGGCCTGCCTTGCAAGCGCAAGGACCTGAGTTCAATCCCCAGTACCAAAAAAAGAAAGAAAGAAATTAAGAACTAAAAGATTATCAGTAACAATAAAGTAGAACAATTATAATATACTATGTCATTAAAACATGAATTATTTCTAGAAATTTCTATTTAATATTTTTGAATAAAGGGATTATACAGTATATATAATTTACTTCATAGCATGGCTACATACCTTCATCGATACTGTTGTTAAATGCTGTACATATTAATATACATACATATTTATTTATTTAAATCTATGCCTGTACTTAGTGAGAGGACACAGAGATACTTGCAGCACTGACCTTAAAGCCAGACTTCCTGGGTTCTAATCTAGGTTTTAAAACCTACAAGGTATGAGCTGTGCAAGTTTCTGAACCTCTCTGTGCTCCAGCATCCTGGAGATTGGGGGTAATGGGATCTACCTTGCAGGGTAGCAGCAAATGAGCACGTAAGTGTCAGCCATTATGCTATTATTTTGCTATTGTTTACTCAGGCAGCTCTTTTCCTATCAGTTTCACAACACCCAATTCTACCTACAACCCCATCTTTCAAATCCAATAACTTACAGGCTTCTGAGAATCACTGATTTTAAAAATTACACTGTTTATATGTTCATTGAAATAATACATCCAATAAGAAATTACCAGCCTTTGCCTGCTAGAAGCTAGCATCGTCTCTGCAGAGCAGGCTGGCCCTAATAGGTGCTTGGTACTTACCTCCAAGTACACAAGGATGCACATCTCCATGCACATATATGTGTATACCTCCAGGTACACAAGGGCACATATTTCCCTGCACACACATGCACATGTGTCTATATGACCATTCTAGGGCCTTTGCTGGAGTGGAGATATTTAGGTCTTAGGTCTAAGGTCTGCTCTTTTTCTCTTCTGCCAGCTAATTCTAGTGCTCAGTTTGAAACTACAAGTCCTGAATGCTGGTAAAAGGAATCTCACAGAGAAAAGAAAAATCTCTCTCCTTTCCCAGAACCCTGGGAAAAGCAAGCTTCTTCATCTGAAGCTGGTGGATGGAACAGTATACTCTGCTGTCTCTGCCCTTCCTCATAGGCCCTGGGAGTGTGAAGGTGAAGGATTTTCTCTGTCTCCTCTGAGTATAAGCATTTTTGGAAGAGCTACCAATGACTGCAGAGATTGCTGCCAGTATTCACAACTCCTAACAATCCACAACTCTGGAGGTTACCTCACTTACTGCCTTGTTGTCATGGTAACAAAACTCATAGTGACATGTGTCTTGCAAAAGATATAAATAGTTATGAAGTTCTGTATTAAGCCTGTAGGCATAAAGGCAATGAACACAGCTTGGCTGGGCTCCTCAGTCAGAGTTGAGAACATTTATTTCATTACAAGTGATGCTTGCCATAATAGGAGCCCTCATGAGTCCAGTAACGTATTCTTAGAGGTCAGTGCTAATGAAAGAAATAGCAAGATCAGCCCTGGCCTTGACAGCAAAAACTGAGCAAATGTAACCAAGCAATAGTAGACTTTAGTAGTGTAAGTCGCCACTTAAAATCCAAGAAGGCAGCTTTTGTAAGAATACTGAGAAATGTCAGTCAACGTCAACAACCAGTCTAGACACTGTTCTCATATAAGTTATTTCATTTTATAATAACTCATGAAACTATTATCATTTCTAGATTGAAGATGAAATTTAAGGTTTAAGAAAAGTCTGTGATTCTGGGTGATTGGCATTGGTGGGGAAGCACTCTGTTATATCTAATATCAATGCAGTACTCTAAGGGAACCTTCCACCAAAAGCACAAGAACAAGACAATATTTGATAGGTTCTTTCCTGCAGAAGGTGCCTGGCACAAAGGAAATTGGGTGTAGAGCACTAACAAAGTATAGAAACAGTTTCTGTTTTAATATTGGTTGGGCTTTTAAAGAGTTTTATGTTTTAATTGAGAGACCAAGGGTGTTTGGGCAGTTGTCTCTACTGCAGGATTTTGTTTTTGTTTTCGGTGCCCAAGACTTTCCCATGAAGAGACCACATGAGAGGACTCCCTCCTTAGACAGGTGTATTATTTCTGTCAGTTGGTGCCCTTATCTCAATTTCTGTTTGTTGTGATCAGCATATGAAACCCAAACTAAACCTTCCTCTGTCTCATTCTGAAATCTCTTCTAAAAAGAAAGAAGCCTACAAATAAAAGTTCAGTGGTGAATTTTCCATTTCTGTCAATGCAGCATCTGTGTCTTAACATCCCCCAAGAAAAAGACCACTTACTTGAAGATTGGGGATTCTAAAGACCTTTTCCAGATGGCACAGACCACTTTGACTCAAGTCTAAAGTTGATGAAGATGAAAGGATGATCCCCTTACTGTCCTTGTGAACATCTCTGGAGGGGGAGGCTGACAAGCTCCAGGCTTGACCAGCATTCTTCTCGGTATCATCAGCAGCCCCTGCGCAGCTTCCTTCCATCTGTCGCCCTCCAGTGGCTACAGCTCATCCTCCTCCTTAGTCTGTAGTCATCTGGAAACAGCAAAGGGAGATGTAGTAGCAATGGCGAATCATATTAACACAACCACACAGACCAAATAGAACAGCTGTGGCAGATCTGCAGTGATTACACTTGCTCTTTTAAATAAAAACTATCATTTAAAATAAACAGTACCATCAATTTGACGTTTGAATTTGTAAAATACAAGAATACACGTTCAGATTAAAATTCTTTGCTCCTAGTGGGGAATGGTGAAATACGCCTGTAATCTCAGTTATTGGGGGTGGGGGTGAGGGTGAGGCAGGAGGAATAAGTGTTTGAGGTTAGCCTGAGACCTACCTAAGTTTGTTTGGTCTAAAAACCAAACAACGTACATCACACACACACACACACACACACACACACACACACACACACACACACACTTTGCTCCTGTCACAGAATTCCAAGATTTTAACTTTTTTAATCAAAACCTCAACTGCCGAGGCACATTTCCACTTGTAATTCCTCTTTGTCCTGCAATGGAGAGCTCCAGCGCCTACATGGATTCATCCACTGGACACCCCAGTGTCTGATCTGATACATGCGTACATTTCTCTCTTGTGTAGGGAGAAGAAGGTCCAGTCAGTCAGGCAGCCTCCCCATGGACGCACAGCTAATAAGATGCCCAGGTTTGCAGGACGAGAAAGGGGCCTGTCCCAGGCGGGGCGGGAGCTCTGGGACTTTGCATGGTGGGTGGTTTTCTTGGAACTAGAAGGGCGGGTTTTGGTCTGCTACAAATTCCTCCGCAGGTAAGAGTGAAACAGGAGGCCCGCAAGCATCTTGCCGACTGTAGGATTCTGGGACTCCCTGACTTGATTTTCCCATCTGGCAGGGCTGAACGAGGCCCGAAACTTGGGCTCAGATTCCCAGCCTGAGAAGAGTGTTCTTTGCCGGCAGACGCGAGCCACCTTGTCCGGCAGCCCTCCGAGAATACAGCGCGCCCATACAACCGGTGCACTCTGACCCGCCCTACAGCCGGGTGACCCCGGTCCTGTACCCATCCCACAGGCCAGGGACCCCGCCGCATCCCCTGGCTTGGGCCCGCACCTGCAGCACCTGGGGCCCCCCAGCCTGCTGGCAAGCTCCTGGCAGCATAGAACAGACACCGCGGAACCGTGGAGGCCACAGTCGCCATGGAGACAGCGCAGTACGGAGGCCCGCGGGGGCCACGCCGCAGTGCTGTGGTGCACATGCGTGTGCGGCGGACTTTGTAGCGCGGAAATGATAGAGGTAACAGAGCGCCGAGGAAAGGTTGGGAGGCTAGGCGGGATAGGAAAGGGCAGGAAGTGGTGAGAGCATAAGGACAGGGCCGCCTTTTGCGAAGACGGTGCGGACAGGCGCAGCAGCAGCGTCCACAGCGGGAGGCTCGCGGCGATGGACACTTTGACCCAATTCGGTCCCACCGCTCCTCAGCGTGGTGCGTGTGGCTGCCCTCCGCAGGTGTCTCGTCTTCCTGGGGCCAGAGGGAAGCCGTCCTGCTAACGCGGTACCCCTGAGCCCTTCTGATGAGGCAACGTCCTTTCCCCAGGCCCCTCTGGGCCGGTATGGGTGTGCCTGCCACTGATCTCTCTGTGGTGCCAGTCGGGACTCCCTCAGGCCGGCCACTCCCACAGCGCCTGCGCAGGTGGAGCACAATGCTCTTACCCCGCAGGCCCCTGAGAGGTCAGCAGATATCTACTCTAGCAGCCTAGACTCGCACCCACGAGGGCTGACACTTGTATTTTCCTATTTTAGTAAGACGCTTCTACCCGCAGTTAACCAGCAGGGCAAGCAAAGGGTCTTGGGAGCATGGTGCAACGAGGTAACACAGCATAAAGCCACATAATACCTGAAAGAAAAGGAGCCCTGTCGAGGAAAGGGAGTGGCTGGTTACTGAGCAGATAACCAAATGTATTAGCCATATGAGCCATTGAAGGGTAAGATCATCCTGTTTTTCTTTCTAAGGTAAGCAAATCCTTTCAGACCCACTTTTTTTTTTTTTTTTTTCTTTTGAGACAGGGTCTCACTATGTAGTTCAGACTGCTCTGAAACTCACTGTGTAGCCCAGGCTGGTCTCGAACTCACAGCGGTACTCCCACCTCAGCCTCCCGAGTGCTGGGATTACAGGCATGTGCTACCACACCCAGCTCAGACCCACTCTTTTACTGAAATTGGAAAGGCTAAAACACAAAAAGCTAAAGCACTGGCCTTGGTATGCAGCTTCATGGTAGAGCCCTTACCCACCATGTGGGAGGCCCTAGGTTTGAACCCCATCACTGCAAAACAAACAAAAAAGGAAAAAAAAAAAGAAGAAAAAGAAAAAAGAATCCAAAGATATTGCTAACAAAGGAGACAATAGTGGGGTTATGAATAAAAGAATTCCAGAAATTCAAGATTAGTTATGGTGTCACGTTTTCCCCATGAGCATTTGCCCATCTAGAAGTAGCATTGGAAGGCTAAACTACTCAAAAGCAAACAGGCAAAGCTCTCAAAAATACAGTAACCACAGGGTGAGTTTTTATTCTGAGACTGCCAAGACTAGGGAGAAACTGGAAAACCCAAGGGGTGGGGTAAGACCCAAAACACTGGACTCTAGGTAAAGGGTGAACTGGAAGAAGACTAGCCCTTGTGAAGACTAAAGTGCAGCTGCAGATCTTATCAAATCTTGACTGCATTGAGATGGTGCAGTGTTATCTCACTGCTTTATGGAAGAGGAAGTATATATCGCCTGAGATCTTAAATTAACCTCACAGTTTCCTAATGTATGATCTGTCATACAAAGGGCAACATTGAGGAATATATGATTCCACAGGCTGGGCCTAGTGGTGCATACCTGTAAAACCAGCACTGTGGGAGACTGAGGTAGGAATATCCCAAGTTCAAGCCCAGTGGGGACAACTTAGTGACTTAGTGAGTCCCTGTCTCAAAATAAAAAAGAGCTGAAGATGTAATTCAGGGTGAAAGCCCTGAGTTCAATCCCCAGTACTAGGGGAACAAAAAGAAAAAGACCGCAGAAACTAAGCACTGGCCTATAGGAGGTCCAAATAAGGAAGTCAACAAGCATGCACCTTAAAATAATTTTACTGAACACATTTAAGGCAGTAAAAGCAAGAATAATACTGGAACTAAAAAAAAAAAGAACAAAAGTTAAAGCTGAGAACTGAAAAACAATAAAAAGTAACCAGATTGGTTTAGTAGCAAATTACTTAGAAGTGAAGGAGAAATTGATGGAATGGAAAGTAGGTCTAAAGAAAATACCCCCAAATAAACGAGATGAAGTCTAGAAAACTGAGAAGACACATTGGGACTCACTGAGCAAGTCTAATGTATATGTGTCTGGGTGGTTTCTGATCAATTAATCATCAGCACACTTCTTTCCTGTGTTCCATCTGAACTGCCTAGGGTGTTACCAACTCTATTTCCCCTAATACTTTTCTGTTTGGTAACAGGCTGACAAAGCAGCCAAGAGGCACTTTCAGGATATTTGGAATGCACATGCAATAGGAAAATAGCTTTTAGGTGATCAGAACAGCAAGAAAAACATGGTTGCTATAGAAATTCCTTGTCAAAGGGCAGAAAATAGGCTGCCTAGGGGTGAATCAGACCCTCAGATATCTCTAGGGAAGATGACAGGGAATAAAAGAAAAAAAAACAATATTCAAGGTACAAGGGGGAGACTGGAAAGAATCTGCCTCTAGTGGACAGGGTCAAAGAACTCTGTGGTGGACCCACTTATTATTCAGCAAGAAGCACAGAGGAGAAAGTAGTGTATTTTTCCAGGAACAGAAATTGCAATAAGTCTAGGGTAGTTTAGCATCTCAAAGGGAGCAAGTTAAAATGCCTGCATTTTGTATTGCTCTCAGTAGATGCTATCTTGCCTCAGGAGCCCTGTGAGTATGGCTTTCCCATACACCCAGGAAGTCTGTAACCTTTTTCATACTTTTCTGTTCCTGAAGCAAGTCCACACGGGTCTCAGGACTGCAGGGCCTGTGGCCTGACCCCCACCAATCTATGCATATCATGACTGGTCCTCAACAATAGGCCGAATGGAGTCACTGAAATCTACCCAGATAAATGTTGGAAGATCTTGATTAGATCTCAAGGACTGGGAATAATTCTTCTGGCTCCCTCCTTTGAGTCAGATTCCCTTATTTTATAAGGCAGTGTAGGTTTGTAGCCGGGACATTGTCCAATTGGGCACATTCACACAGTACAGAGAAGATGTGGGATCACTCCAGAGAACAGCAGTGCTGGTGCTGTAACCAGGCTCAGGGAAAGCAGAGCTGAGGTGAGCCTCCAGGTCAAAGCAAGGGGACAGGGTGGACAGTGGCTCTGAGCACAGTGGAAGACGGAAGCACAACCCCTGGTTTCTAACAAAGCAAAATTTTGTAACTATTTGAGCCCATTTCCTCTTATCATTGCCTCAAGTTTTTGTTTCACTTTTTGAAAACATTACATTAATTTCTGTAGTCAATAGTTAATTATATGTATGAACATATTTTGCCATTTTCTGGTGCTCACTTTTTATCCAGCTAAAATGTTTCCTTTGGTAGTTCTTTTGGCAAGTATTTTTGGATGATTCTCTCCAAAATGTATGAATGTACTTAGTCTTTATTTTGAGCAAATTCTTGAATGATTGTTTAGCTGGTGCAGAGTTCCTTGTTGATAACTGTTTTTTTTATTACAGTTTTAAAGACATTACTCACTGGCTGCTGCTGAGAAGGTTGCTGCCAATCTAACTGCCATTTGAGTGAAGGAAATCTGTCTTTTCTGTGTCCTTGTTCTGAAATTTCACTATGGTGTGCTGATTGATATACAGTTATGCTGCCTGACTCTTGATGTGTGCCTTCTGAGACTTAAATTCTTGATTCTAGGACCTTGCCAACCTTTCTCCCATCACGTAGCATCTCTGCACACCCTCCTTGATTCTCATGGTGGAACTCATTCAGTCTGTTTTCCATGTCTCAGAACAGTTCTCCCTAAGGTTTATATGTATGTGTTCCTTGTTCTGGATGGACTGTTTTCCAGTTCACTAAATCTGTCTTCACTGGTGTCTAATCAGTTTCATGTATTCATGTTTTTTGTTTTGTAGCACTTGACATTAAACCCCAGGCTTCCACCATCTAGACAAGCACTCTACCACAGAGCTGCTCCTGTTGTTGTTGTTGTTGTTTTAATGACCTCACTTTGCAGTTCTTTTTTTTTTTTAATCTATTTGTTCTTATTTCATTTCACCCAGTTTTTATTATCTCTTTAATTTTTGTGGATATTTTCTTTTTATTCACAAAAAGAATCCTAAACATAATTGTTTTAAATACTACTCAGTTGTAATTTCCAGATTGCTCCATGCTCATAGCATTAGGACTGGGTTCATCTGCTGATCAGTAACACTGTTACCTATATTCCCAGCATTAGGTATTCTGGAGGAGGCCTCCAGGCTTACCTGAAGACTGAAAGTTTCTTCCTGAGCTCATCCTATCTTTCACTATGGTCCTGCGGGTGCCTTGCATAGTCACAGAGAATGCTCAGGGTTCCTGCCCGCAGCCATGGTGCCAGCCAGGAGCTGAGTAAGGACCTTCCTCTGCATGATCTTCAGATTATTATAGAAGTTGTAGGTTTTTTCCTGAGCTTCTTTCCTAGAGGTGGGAGGCTTGTTCCAGCTGTGGTTTTAAGTAATTACTTTGGCTGTTGTTGCTGGCTCCTCTTGGGGTATTTTATCCCCTCACTCTTCAGAAACAGCATTCCTCGCCACCTTTGCATATTTCTGTACAGTGTCTTGCCCAAAGTCTTGGTCTTCCATGCTGGGTTTTATTTGTTTGGTTGGTTGGTTTTGGTTTTGAGACAGTGTCTTGCTATATAGTTCAGACTGGCCTTGAACTTACTAAATGGCCCAGGATGGCCTTGAACTCATGGAGAACTCCTGCCTGTGTTCCTCTCCCAGCTCACCACATGTCTAGCTCTTCCATTCTGTTTTATGTTTCTGGCTCACTTTTGGTCTATGGGCTGTTTTTTGTTTGTGTTTGTTTTTGCAATATCTTTTTCTTTCAAGACAGTCTCAATGAGGTGCCCAGGGTGGCCTCAAACTTGAGATCCTTCTGCCTCAACCTCCTGAGTACCTGAGGTTACAGACATGTGCCACCACACTCACTGGTTTTTAAATTTTATCTTTTAAATATTGTCTATTGCAGCCATGGATGGAGAGAATCATATGAAGACTTCTAAGGTTGAAATTACATTGCCACCTTGCTCAGAGGAACTTTCAATACAGGAAAATAAAACAATTTTAATGTTTTAGTTTTTCCTATTACATACCTTGTCAGGAAACTGCTATAAGTTGTATTTGGTATTTTCCCAATAACTAATATTCTACATCAAAAGAAAAGCAGCTAGTTAAAAAAAAAACTTGGAATCTACTTTATAGAAAATTGAACATAGGACCAATAAACATGTCTAGGTAGATTTCACAGATTTCCACATCACTTATAATTATTTTTAAGATGTTCATAATGTTCCTGAGTAGCTCTGCTGTGCCTGTTTGACCATCATCAGAATGAAATACATGTCTCCCTTCCTTGAAACGAGTCAGGGCTACAAAGAAAAGATGGCCCATGTTTCTCTCAGCTGAGAGCATAGCACAGGAATGGGCCATGATAGGGACGTGTGGAATGAAGTGCAATGATCAAAGGAGCTACAGCCTGGGATCCAGTGGAAGAGTGGGGGATGTTTCGTCGACACTTCAGAGAGGACTGTGATGACTCTTTGCATTTTTCAAATAAGCCAAAGTGGGGAACTCATTTCAATTCATTATTGCAGTGGTGATAAAGAGTTTTGTAAGATGGCCGTGAGCACTGAGTGAATAACGGGTGTAGCACCAGGGCCTGGTAGGCCAACAAACATCATATAATCACCTCACTGATGCTAAGAAGTCAGGATTGTTATCCTGATTTTACATGAAAGAAACTGAGGGGCAGTTTAGTCACAGGGGAACTGCAGTGCCCACTGGTAAATACGCAGAGGAGGTGCTCAGGGATCTGACCAAGCTCTGAGCCTGGGAGGCTGTGCCCAGTGTCCAGGCAGCCTGCCTCCTCTGGACACAGGATACTCCCCAAATCAAGGATTTAAAATAAGTGATCTGTGTATGGGATCCTTCTGGAGTTATAGACCCAGTGAGGCTCATAAATTAAGAGAACTAGTAACAGTGACACCACCAAGTGGCCATCCATGGGCACCAAAGGCCAGGTTTGAACATGCACAACACTATTACTAAGGTCTTTGTTTCTCTTCCTGATATGTGCCTCTGTCCTGAGCAGGCCCTGAGCTGAGTCTCACCACCCTTGATTGGTACATTCCCACCTGTTGTTGGATGCTGGGCTGGGTACATTTGGGAACCGCAAGTGATTAGTCCTTGTGGGGCCTGTCTTCAGCCTTGGAGACATGATGAAGCTGCCTGTCTGAGGAAGGCTAGGATGGCAAATGTCCCAGCTGGATAGACCTAAACTTCCTCACATAAACTTCTGCTGGGGAATCCTTAGCAAAGGCAAGTGGCTTTACCCAACTAGATAGTACTTCTTTGATACCTCCCAAAAGACTGCTATTGTGCTGCAAAACTTGCCTTAGTGTCTTATCTTCAAAAATAAATATGACAGCTATGAAGTCAGTAAGCCTATTTTGAAAAGAGGATTAGAGACTACCAAATCTACAGAATGCAGAAAATCAGCTTGGCCCCTTTTTCTGAAGATTTTGGGAGTATCTGTATAGAACTGCCTCAGAAGCAAGGATGCAAGTGGTTTCAGGGAGGAGGAAAAATGATTCTTCCCTCAGACTTCTTCAATCCACAACTTCACCCCTGACAAGCTACTGAGGCAGATTTTGCTTTTTCATTTAAAGTAGTAGTCGGTGCTAGAGAGGACAATGCCTGCAGAAAATAGTTTTGTGGTTTCTGCTATGTCATAACCACTGGGTGTGGATGGAGATTTACCTGGCTCCCTGAGGCTGCCTTGCAGAGGCACCAGCTCAAGCTTGGAAAAAAAATCATGGTTTGGATAGCCCCACACTGACCAGGTGTTCTCCCTGGAAAAGGTACCATTGTCAAATGCAAAGATCTCTGATGCAGCAGACATCCAAGGAAAATATGTGGGCTGGTGAGTTTAAATCAGGATTTGCTTTTGGATGGTTGATGATAATGGCATGATTCTTCATTGCTAAAGAGCCTGTATAATACTGCATGCAGATATGTTTCAGAGGATCCTAGAGAGGACTGAGCTTTGCTATCCAGGAGACCCTGTCCTGACTCCAGCAACACATACTTGGATGCTATGGTGAGCCATGTTCTGAGCTAAAGTTTGATACCTCATGGCCACAGAGCCTTATACCAGACACTTTGAACCCAAACTTCCCAACTGGTAACTAACAAAACTGAAACAAGGATAGTAGCAATAAGGCAAGGAATAAATTAATAAATGAGTACATATGTGGAAAGCTTGGTGCAGAGGATGCACCTGCTAAATTCATGTTCTATTCTTGTTATTAGCAGAGATTAAATTATCTAGGCAAACCTAAATCAAGTCAGAAGTAAAAGAAATTTTCAAGGAAATATTTTTAAAAGGGTAATGGGTAAGTGGTAAGTAAGTATTGTGCTAGCTGGCTAATAATAATACACTTTAGACCTTGTCCTTCTGCTAACTGGGGTGCTTACCTAATGCTGGCCCTTAGATTATTATTGATGCAGAAATCAAACTCAGAGAAGTTAATGACCTTCCAAGGTCACAGAGCTATTAAATTACAGAGCTACACTTTGCCCAAATTATTGGTCACTGAAATATCTGAAGTTCCAGCATAAACTACTTTAAAAATATGTAAAAGGAAAAGAAAAAGATCTAGAAATTCAGCCAGCCTAGAGTATCAGAGTGCATGAATTCCACTGTAAAACAAATTCTACCCATATTACAGATACATTACAGTTCATGGCTCTCCATTCACCCTTGATCCAACTGCTGGGCCACCTTGGGTTCCTGACTTGGCTCACAGCTAAACATGTGCCCTGTCATATTTCTGTCTTCCATTGTTCCCTCCGGTTCTGCTGAGTGGCTGGGACATGAGCTCTGACAGTGAACAGCCTGTGAGGGTTCTGTGGATGGAGCTGTCATGTGCAGTGGCAATCAGCTGTTACTGACTTGCTCCTTGTGTGCTGTGGGTGCCTGTGGAATTGGGACCTCCTTCCTACTTTGTGTTTTTGCAGCTGCCAGTACTCCTTGGCCTTTTCATTTCTGGTGTTGGGCCTATATTCTTCCTTATCTCGCAACAAGTTCTGAGTTCCTCTTGACACCACCCAGTTTTATCTCATCCTTCAGTGTACCCTGACCTTGCCTTCCTGTGGATGGGGCCTGTCCCCATCTCCTCACCTTCCCTGCTGTGTCCATAGCTACTAAGTGCTTGTCCCCAAACCCAATGTGTGCTCCAGACTCATCTCTGTTACCCCTTAGATTGAGCTTTGGGCAGTTCCTGGAACTTTCCAGACCCCCAGATAATTTCAAGTTCCTTGCATGTGTTCACTCTCAAGAACATTTTCACTTCATTGGTGAAATGTCCAGGTGTGTCAGAGAGCCCCAGCTCCATATGCTTCAGTGTCACCCTTTGTTCTTCCAGTTTAACTGTGCTTCAGGCTGGAAGCCCAGAGAGACTGTGACTGAACTCTGCCTCTTCTCTCCCTTCCTTTGGCTTTCTTCAGGTATCAGGTGTGGGTGGGATGGAGGGAGGGGGATGGGGTGGCAGGGGTGGTACACAGGTAACCGGGTGGTGGCTGGTCTCCAAGGCTAGCACTGCCTTTGGAAGAAGAATGCTTGAGTGGGTTCCTCAGAGATCTTCCCATGGCAGTCTCAGTGTAGACTGTGTTTCTGTATGTTGTATATGATTTCTTAGTCCTGGAACATCTGGTTGTCTTCAACCTCTGCTGACATCTATATTGAAGTAACTTTTTACTTTCTTGCAAAAAAATAAATAAATAAATAAACGTGCAGTGTCTTCACACCCTTCCACCTGCTGATGATGGGTGGAATGTACCTTACTCTTGTGTAACTTTAGCTTGACTATATGGCTTGTTTGGCCAATAAGATATAAACAGATGCCATGGGGAGGGGTCCTGATTGGTCCGTGGGATGTTGAGTAGGGCAGTGCCAGCAGAGTGAGTTCCTGATGTCCTTCAGCATGACTCCTTGCACTTTGTAATAGAATGGGAAGCACATGATGGCCTGCTGGTCCCAGAAGAATGAGAGATCCACAGAACAGACCTGAAGTGAGTTCAAGCCTGACCAAGACCAGCTGAGATCAGCCAAACCACAGCCACTTATAGATGTGGTGTGAGCAGTAATGTTTGCTATTAAAGTTTGGGGTGATTTGTTATGATACTGTGGGAATAGCCAACTGATACTGTGTCACTTTGCCCCTACATAACCCTCAGGACAATGTCCAAGATGACCCAGGGCTAGCTCCCTCCAACAAGGCAGGTCAATTGTATGACCTCCCAGCCAGCAGAGATAGTTCACTTACCCTCTGGACTATAATCTCTTACAAAATCAGCCTTTAGGTATAATGGCTGGTTTTTATAGTATGTAAATCATACCTTGATAAAGATGTAAAGATGACAAACAGAAGCGGGGAAAGGATCCTTGCTCACAACCTAAAGATTCAGTTCTGTGAATCTTAGCACATTTGTAGAGTTCTGCTGTCAGCACACTGCAGACTCAGAGTGTCTCCACAAGCCCTAGCATCCTACAGACTGTCTGCAGTCATTCCCCTTCCCACCCCAGCCCAGTTGGCTTTGATCTCCTTTCTGTCTTTATACATTTGCTTCTTCTGTACATGTTCAGTGAATTTGCTGGAAAGAGAAAAGAAACACCTGCCTCCAAATCGAGAGGGCACTGACAGTCCAAAGAAGTCCAGGTTGGTGAGTGAGTTTATTAAGGGTTATTTCCAGAGTGTTGGATGGCTTATAAGCTGTAGTGCTACCAAAGTCACCAACCCCCTAAACTACTTATTTTATAGGGTTCCAAGGTAAACATAAAAAAAAAAAAAAACCCGAAAGGAATAGACAAGAGTCCTGGGACAGTTTGTGAGCTTGATTCCCTTCACATCCGTATTGGGAACTCCACAGGTCTCAGCAAGCTCTGTCAAACTGCAGTCAGGAACACACCCTTAGCACTTAGGAGGAGCCTGCCAAACAGCCAAACAGAATGGTGTTACTTTGGCTGGGGGTCAGAAGGCTATTCTTCCTACTGTGCCTTTCACACAAATGAAATCCTACATTATACCATCTTTTCATACAGCTTTATTTTATTTTTTTTAAGAGTAGGAAAAATTTATTGAGGGAAAGAAAGCTTCTGTCTAAGAGAGACAGAAGGGGGATCGGAAAGTGGGTTGCCCGCCCACCCTAGTTTTCAAAGATGTTTTATACAGCCAAGCCATGTGGTGAGGCAGGTACAAGTGGCTCATATAGCTTTATTGTTTTGTGTAACAATTTTGAGGTCTTTCCATATTTTAGTAGGTATCAGTATTTCATGGCTCTTTATTGCTGAATTACATTCTGTGATATGGATATACTAGTTATTTTTCCAGCCATTAGAGGACAGACATTTGGACTATATACAATTTAATTATGAAATAATACTGCTATGAATATGCATGTACATATGTTTGAGTTTCCATAGAGTTTATATTCCCAGGAGTGGAATTACTGAATTATATCGTAAGTTTATACTTATATTTTTAAGAAATTATGTGTAAGTGCTTTCCAGAGTGGGTGTGCAATCTTACATTTCTGTGGACAAAAATGTGAATTTAAGATCTGCCACATCCAATGCTTCGTATTATCTGTCCTTTTTATTTTAGTCATTCTAATGAATATAAGGAAGTGTCTCATTATGGTTTTAAGTTGTCCTTGCCTAATGATTAATGGTGCTGATCACATTTTTATGTACGTTTCAATCATTTATATGGCTTCAGCTGGACTCAAGGTAACCTGCAATGTGATTTTATTGTAGACAGTTAAGTTAGGTAGAGATATTCTAGGCAGACAGGGCCAGGCCCTCGAGGGAGTCAGTGCAGAAGATGAGAACACATTACAACTGTGGCTGGAGGCACATCTGTTGAAGGCCAGGCCTCAAGAGAAAGATGAAATGACCAGACCTACCTGCCTCCCCAAAGAATAAGCAATAAACTGAAGACTATACTGTAATTGGTATCACCTGTTCCAATAAAGTCTAAGTAGACATCAGTCACCCAGGTGGGTGGCCAGGACCTTGTGGTTTATCCCTTCTTCACTTTTTTTTTTGTACTAGGGATGGAACTCAGGACCTTGCACTTGTGAGGCAGGCAGCAGAACCACTGAGCTAAATCCTTGGCCCCTTGATCTATCCCTTCTTTAAAAGATCCTTGTTCTTTCCATGTACACTTGCTATGTGACCGGCTTTCCCACTGGATCAATATTACTTAAGTGGTTATATTTGTAATGTTATTGGATGATCATAGCTTTGACCTATACTGTACCCACCTTGTGTTTTTTTTTGTTTGTGTTGGTGTTTTTTTTTATTTGTTTTGTTTTGTTTGAGACAGGGTCTCACTATGTAGTTGAGACTGACCTGGAACTCACTATGTAGCTCAGGCTGGTCTCAAACTCACAGTGATCCTCCTGCCTCAGCCTCCCAAGTGCTGGGATTACAGGTGTGCACCACCACACCCGGCTCCCACCTTGTGTTTTTGCTCTATAAAGCTTCCTTTGAGAAGTGGTCTCATTGGCAATCCACTTTTAGGTTCCCTCTCAGGAGCTATCTCTCTCAATACATTTTTCCTACTCTTAACCTCTGTGGTTCCTTAGAATTCATTCTTTGACTTTGGGGAATACAAACTCAGTGTATCTGACATCTCGCAGGTTGGGAGTTACATTTATTTCCCCCACATCAATTTTACTGTTTTAAAAAGCCACTAGACAGAGAGCTGCAGGGCAACCCACATTCAGAACGCCTCCTGCTTTGCAGAAGGTTTTCTCTTACTGAAACATTCCTATTCTTTACTTCTTTTGTCTTCAAATTCATTCTTCAGCATTGTGAGACACAAATTTGGCACATCCGATGGGTTGGAGTTATCTTCCCTATAACATTGACATTACAGGCATTTGCCAGCATCCCTGGCTGTTTTTGTTTTCTTGATGATATCTTTTTAATATCAAAGTTTCTAATTTTAATAAAGATCAGTTTATGAGGTTTTTTTTAATGCCTCATGTTTTTGGTGTCATGTCTAATGATTTTTTGCCTAACACCAAATCATGGAGACTCATCCCTTGCTTTCTTCTAGAAGTTTTATAATGTTGGCTCTTACATTTAGGTTGTGTATCATTTTGAATATTGTTTATGAAAGGGTCTAATTTACTGTTTTCATCTGAATATTCATAATTCCTGTTGTGTCAATTCTGATGAATTGTATCTTTCAAAGAATTTGTCTATCTCATCTGAGTTGTGAATTTATAGTCCTAAAACTTTCACAATATTCCTTTATATTTTCACATATCTTTAGACTGTAGTGCATCCCTTTTTTAATTTTGATATTGGCTTTTTGTTGTTGTTGTTGTTACCAGGGATTGAACTCAGGACCTTGCACTTGCAAGGCAGGCGGTGGAACAACTGAGCTAAATCCCCAGCCCTAGTGTTTTATAATTTTAAATGAGTTTTTAAAGGACCAGTGATTTACTTTGTTGGTTTTTTCTATCATTTGTTATGTTCTATTTAATATATTTGTGTTGGTGTCTATTTTACATTAAATTTACTTTATTTAGATTATTTCTTTTGAAAAATTTTATCTCACTTATATTTTTTTTTCCTTGAATATAACTTCCATCCCTGTTATACGGGCTTGTAGTAGTGATTTTTAAAATAAATAATTTTGTAAAAGTGTATTTATTATTATTTTCTTTATTTTAAACTGACAAGATTCTATATATTTTGGTGTAAAACAAGATTATTTGAGCTATGTATACATTGTGAAATGATATTTTTCTTTTAAATCTTAAGACAGAACTTAATTGTTGACTTTAAACTTTTATTTTTCTCGCATAACCTTTTAAAACTAGCTGCATCCCACACATTTTGTTATGTTAGTTTTTATAAGCATTCAATTAAAAAATATATCCTAATTTTCTTGGTGATTTATTATTGATCAGTACATTATTTAGAAGCTTGTTGCTTAATTTTCAAATGGTGGGTTATCTTGGTGTCCAGTTTAATTTCAGACAATATATTATATATGATTTTAATCCTTTGATATTTACTGAAGTTTGTTGCTGCTCCTACTGCTGTTGCTTTTGGTCCCAGGATATGACTTACCTTGGTGAATATTCCTTATGTATTTGAAAACAATATGTTATATACAGTTACAACGTTCTATAGATGTTAGCTAGGTCAGGTTGTTTAATGATAGTTTCCAAACCTCTATAAATTAATAACTTTATATGTGAGGTCTTATCAATTTCTGAGATATGAATATTAGAATCTCTTATTATAACTGTGGATTTGTATATTTTTTTCTCTTGGGCTATCGAATATTGCTGTATATTGAATTTTCTTATCGGGTGTATATGCATTTGGGATTGTCATTTGCTTTTTTTAAATAGGGTTTCACTATGTAGTTCAGGCTGGACTTGAATTCACTATGTAGCCCAGGCTGGCCTCAAACTCATCCTGCCTCAGCCACCCAAGTGCTAGGATTACAGGTACGTCCCATCATGCTTGGCTGTCATATTATTGAAGAATTTCTCTTTTCACTATTATGAAATGGTCCTCTTTATCTCAGATAATATTCTTTGTCCTAAAATCTGCTTTGTTGTAGATGTAGCTACATAACCTTTGTCATGACTAGTACTTGAATTGTGTATTTTTTTCCTTTTTTTTGTTTTAAATTTCTTTTTTGTTAATTTACTTTCAATATTTAAGCTATAAATCACTCTTATATTTAAGATGTACCTTTTAAAAACAGTATGTATTAGAGCCTTGCATTATCCAATCTGATGGTCTTCACCTTTTATTTGAAGTGCTCACTCCATTTACATTTACTGTAACTTTTGATATGTGGAGTTTAACTCTACCACACTGCTATTTAATTTTCCACTTGTACCATCTGTTTATTTTTTCTCATCTTCTTGTTATTCTTCAGGATTAATTAAGCATTTTTAGTGTTAGATTTTTATCTTTTCAGTTTGCTTTGTTGGCTACACTACTTTTTAAAGTGATTGCTTTTGATATGCATCCCTAACAAATCACAGTTAAATTTGAATTAATATTACACCATTTGGCAGTATAATTTATTTGCCCTGTATAGTTTGTATAATTTATTTATGCTGTTGTCATATATTTTATTTCTACACATGCTATAAACTCAGTCATCAGTGTTGCTTTTGTTTTGAGCAACACTTGTCTTTTAAAGATATTATATTTATTTACCATTTCTTTATGTAGACACACACTTCCAAATAGTATGATTTCTATCTATCTTTTTATTTTTGAGTTAGGCTTTTGCTTTGTAGTTCAGGTTGGCCTTGAACTTGCCATGATCTTCCTGCTTCAGTCTCCCGGTTACTGGAATTACAGGTGTGGATTACCATGCTCAGCATTTCTATTTATCTCGAATAACTTTCTTTAGCATTTCTTAAGGTGTTAGTGACAAAGTCCCTGAGTTTTGTTTACTTCAAAATGTCTTTACAATCCTTTGTTTTTGAAGGGTATTCTCCTTTGGTGCAGAGTTAGAGTTTTTCTGCAGTTATTTTGTATGGTTAGTGTGTTGTTCCATCATTACATATGTCAATAGTTAACATTTTCCTATGTTCTAATTTTTCTCTGGCTTCTATTTCTTTTGATAAGAAGTCAGCTGCCATGTTTTACACTTTTCAAGAACCCATATTATCTCAACTTTTCTATATACATAGTTGATCACTTCTGTTTACCTGTCTGCAAGTTCATTGATTCCTTTTTTCCCCTTTGTCAAATATAATATTAAAGTATGTCACTTTTTAGATATCATATTTTTCACTGCAGGGCAATTTCTATTTTGATTTGATTCTTCATTTCTCACCTGAAATTACTTATCTCTTCACTCATTATGTCCATCTTTTTTAATAAATCCTCTGACATAGTTGTAATTGTTACAGTCCTCCTCTAATCACAGTACCTGAACCATCTGGAATTCTGCTTCTAGTGACTTTCTTTTTCATATTTTTATACTTTACCACATACTTCATAATTTTTATGTGATTCTGGACGTGGTATATAAAAGGGCACCAGGAGTGAAGCATACTATATGGTTAGTTGTTTTTATTTCTGTTTTTTAAAGAAGGATTTCTCTGTGCTGTTTAAGGTGGGGGGTGGCCATTTAGATGTATCTAGGGTCAGTTGTTCTGAGGCTTACTGAGCTTCAATAGATTGGTTCACCCTACATTCACCTAACTTGGAGCCCATGAGGTCAGCATTTGAGCTGGAAGGAATGAGTCACAGTTTCATTTGGCTTTTGGCTCATCTTTTCATATGCTTCAGAATCTAAGCTCTGAATGACCAAGACTGTACAAATCTCTCTTATTGCTATTTTCTCCATTTCCATGTTTTTAAATTTAGGTCCTTTTTAGACAGACCTACTTTGCCCAGGCTGTCCCCACTTTCATCATAGACCACATATCCCAGTTTCTGTAGGTCCTGACCTAGGCAGGTCTACTTCTGCACTTTTTCCCATGTGAACAGAAGCAGAATTCAGATTATGAGGTTTTCATGCATCCGTCTCCATGATGACCCATGCAAAAGTGTGATTTTAGTTTAATTTGGTTAATTCTGTTGTTACAACAGAAGCAAAACTCATTCACATTTTTCTGCATTTTAACTGGAAGCAGAAATCTCACCTTGAAGACTTCAGGTTTAGGACTGGAAATATCTTACCTATGCCACAAACTCCAGAGGAATAGCTCAACTTCTCTGAGTGGTTTTCTTTAAAACCTTTTGTCACTTAGCCTGAATTAGGGAGAAATAACTGCACGATCTGGTGGAGAAACATCAAGTGTTCTAAAATTTTTTCCAGAGAAATTGTTTTCCCTTTTCAACTTTCACTTACATATTCAGCGAGAAAGAATGAACTAAGGCCCCCCAAATCTTTTGGCTACCCATTGAAGCCTCAGAAGATGGAAAGTCTTCCTGTAGAATATCCTGTTCCAGGACCATGGTGTACACAAAACTACAACTAGCTGGGCACTGATTCCCTGGAAAACTTAACTTTTACTTAAGATAAAGAACTTTGTATGGGATGTATGACCCCAAGTCAGCAGAGTGAGGGAAAGGGCAGAGAGGGGGAGAGAGTGGGGGAGGGAGGAAGGGAGGGAGAAAGAGAGAGAGAGAGAGAGAGAGCAATGTAAGGCATGACCCTGCTATGCTGGTCATGAGGTCACAGCCAACCATATGGAGACACCATTTGCTACTTGGCTGGTTCACACAGGATGACTCGCCACCTGGAGAAATCTGGCAGCATAGAATGTCTCCAGGTAGACAGGAAGAAGTCTTCCTTGGAACTCTTATGGGAAAGAGGAAGGAGAAGCAAAGTTCACTACCTTTGTGAATGGCCCCCACTTCAGCAACCTGTCAGCAAGCCAGAGACAGATCCTGGCATGGAGTTATACAGGCTGTCCTCACATACCTGACCCCAACATCTACTTAACCTCCTTGCTTGCCACTTCCTTCCCCCGTCTCTCCAGCTTAACCACTTAGGCCTTTCTTGCAGTTCTTTGAAAGCATCATGTTTGTACTTCACCACATTCCTCCTGGAAGCAAGTCCCCTATTTTCCTCTGGCTTCCTTCTGCCCATCTAACGTATGTTGGCTCTGATGTCCCAGTTTTGGGGTGGCTTCCCTAACATGCCTTGTTTCCCATAATCCACAGCAGTCCCCCTCTGCTGACTCTCATTAGAATGTTCACCTCCCTCACTGAGTGGCTCAACTATGCCAGCAAATTTTCAGCGTATCGCCAATGCCTAGCAGCATGCCTAGCATATACTAGGTGTTTATTAAATGTCCGTGGGACCTGTGTGTCAGTGTCCTTGTTAGCCCATAAAAGAATCTCTCTCTCTTCTCTCCAGGACTAATAGTCAAGATGTTACATTCCTTCCATTGAGGAGTCACTATCGGTCAGCATGATACCCAAACTCCCAGGCTGGGCTGGGTCAGGGAGCTCCTGAGTGCTAGCAGTACTGCCTCACTCAGCTGGATGTACACTGGCGTGAATGGCTCTTTCATTGACAGGTTTAAATTCATGTGCCAAGGCACAATAGAGTTGGAGCCCACACCATAAGTTGATTCACTGAAATGCTCTTAAGGACCCTCATTGGGCTGGTTTCTCATACCACTCTTATGACAGGCCTGCCACTGTCATCTATACCCCAAGAATACAGCACTCTGTACCATGTCTCCTGGAGTTCTCCAGATTCTGATGCACTGGGCTTCAGCTCAGTGCTGCTGGCACCTTGGGCCCTCCACACAGTGGGTGGCAGGTGGAACATCAGCAGGAAGAAATGAATGGTATATTTAGAGCAGAAATTTCAAATTTTTTTTTTTTTTTTTTTT